TAAATAATAATATTTCTGTAGGGTTCCCTCATCGAAATATCTGGTCCTAAACGAGGGATCGAAATATTTTTTTTAACGACTCGCACGAGACGGTGCGAACTTCTATTGATAGAGCAGGAAAAAATTACAAGATTACAACCCTGGAGGGTTATAACCAGGAAAAAGGAAAAAAAATACCACCACCCACACGGCGACATCGCCAACACACTAGCCCAGGAGAAGGCTAACACCGGACCGGCCGCCGCTAAGCGTGACCGACCGCCACTAGACCAACAAAGGGACACAGACGAGATCGCCTGAGGGGTGAGACAGCACAACAACGCCCTCAGGAGGGGGGATAACCATCGTTGTCGGTCCGACCAAGGTCGAACTGGGTTTTCACCCGCCACTCACCACCTGCGAATCCACGGCTGACGCACCGATGCTCCACCACCACACAAGCTTTGCCGACATGTGGGACCCCTACACCGGCGTCCCCCGCCGGCCAGCCTTCGCGCGCCGAAGACCGCGCCACACCCACCAGCAGCTCCTCCTCACACCTAGGTCGCCTCCTCCACTGCCGGCCGCGCCACTCTGCGCCAAGCCGGCCTCCTCTACCGGACGCGTCTCTCGCGCCAATCCGGCCTCCCTCCATCGGCCGCGCCTCCCGCGCCAAGCCGGCCTCCATCTCTGCCGCCCGCGTCTCTCGCGCCGAGCCGGCCTCCGTTGCCATCGGCTGCGCTTCTCTGCGCCAAGCCGGTCTCCGACCCCTCCACCAAACGATGTCGCGCCGGCCAGATGTAGTCGTCTCCCACGCCCTCGGCTAGCCGTCCGAGGCCGCCATGCCTCTGGTGACCGCAGACACAGTCACCACCACCGCAGCCGCTGTTGCCGAACGCCCAGCCACCTCGCCGTCGCCATCCTCACCTCGCACCCGACTCCTTCCCCGCCTCCACTTGCTGTAGCCAACAACCCGCATCCGTCGACGTTACCACCGCCTTCACGGCCGCCGTCGCCGCTGCCACCGACGCCAGCCTCCGCCTCCGCAAACCACTGCGCCGTCCACATCCGCCGATGTTGCCGCCGCTGCCGCTACTAGTCGTCGACGCCAGCCACTGCCATCGCACACCGCCGCCACCGCCAACGCAGCCGCTGCCAGCAACCGCCCCAACGCAGCCGCCATGCCCTCCGTCGCCGTCGCCAGCCAACGCCGCCACCGCGACAGCCTCGTCGCCGTCACCAGCCGCCGTGACCGCCAGCAGCCACCGGACGCCAAGCACTAGGAGCTCCCGCTCCAGATCCGCCCACGGGGGGGCTGGATCCGCCTCCGGCGTGCCTGGATCCGCCCACGAGGGGGCCCGACCTACCTCCGGCGCGCCTGGATCCAGTCCGCCGTCGCCAGCCTCGCCGCCATCTCCATCCCCGCCGCCATCTTCATCCCCGTCGCCGACGGCCCATCTCCGACGCCGTCGTCACCCCCGCCGCCGTCACCTTCCCCGCCGCCAGCCGCCACCCCGCCAGATCCGGCCGGAGCGGCGTGGATCTGGCGGGCTCCACCGCCGCCGCCTTCAGTCGCTCGAGAACCGCCGGTGCCCCAGCGTGCTCCTTGAGAGAGGAAAAGGAGGCCCCGCCGCCACCGTCCTTGCCGCCGCGCGGCTTTGCCGGCGGCTGCTCTGGCGGCGGCGAGGCGGGAGGGAGGAGGAGGAAGCTGGCTCGCGGCACGTGGTGTCGCCGCCCGTGTCGCCTGGGGCGAGCGACGCGGGCGGAGTTGTCTCAACTTATGGACCAAGGAATTAATTGTAGGGATCGAAATATTAAGTGATGTCCTAATCGAGTTTGATATGAGGATAAAGACAGGAGCAGAACAAGAAGATGATCGACAGCTGATTGATGGTGTATTAGTCATTGGTTGTGAGACACCAACAGATGTAACATTGAGAAGACGCATCCATGGCGATTGCGGTGCGGTCGAGATAAAATTTTCACATCTGCATCATGCAGTGGAGGCGACGGTACAGGTTGCCGTATTGGAAGTGCAGAGTCATTTCAATCTGTCTATCTGTTCTTATGTGGGTTCGTTACCTGACGAAATGCAGCTATTTTGTGGCCACATAGCCGAGCCATGTGGCCTAAAGAAGTTTGTTCTTGCTGCAATGATGCGTAATTTGCTGCGATTGAAGTTGAAGGTAAGCCAAGGAGGGTCTTACGCTGAACATTTTTGCTCGTTCGAACCAAATCACCATGGGCATTCATGTCAGCAGATAAATACTGAGTTTGCATCCTTCCTGGTGAAGATTACTTGGTCGACTTTGGACTTTGGAAATCCACAGAATTATCTGTAATTCACAACCGAGGCTACGGTAATAAGTTAGTGTATTCAATTATTTTTCTCATTGAGTTAATTAAGATGAGGCCTTTCTGAGTATGACTCAAATTTAAAAAGGATCCTAATGTCACTAATTCTTTCTAATTCTTCCTAAACATGAGGCATTTTTTTAGCCTGCGAGAAGGTCAATATAATAATATGTTTCGCATGTCACGAGTCCCTTCTTGTTTTTTATATAGTTGGAACCCACTGCAAGCATGACATCACTCGCCTGTTAGCTCGTGACATCACTGAGCCAACCGTGAAATAAAGATGGTAACATGAAGAATTTTTAAAAAAGGAATGTGAACGAGGCCTAAGATGTAAGATAGCCCACCTCCTTACGGGCTCCCAGCCTCCTGCAGTCCTGCTTCTCTCCTGGCCCAGTCCTGCTTCTCTCCTGGCCCTCCTCTATGAAGTAAGAAGTAATAAGTTCACTTTACATTTCTCAACTATGAGTCAAATTCTATTTGCATCCCTTACCCATGAAATCGGGTATAAAACGTCATCTAATTATCAAAACCAGTGCAAATAGAGTCCCTTAGCGGTTTAGATGGCAATTTTATCCTACAGTTACCCACGTGGCATGTTGGCATGATCTTTATTCCTATGTGGCGCTTGCGCTTATTTGGGATTAGAAAAAAAATAGAAAAATAAAAAAAAACTCAATGGACCCATATGTCATTAGGAAAACAAAGACTCAAATGTGGCCCCACCTCTCCCTCTCCTCTGTTCCTCTCTCTCTCTCACTTAGCGCTGGGGTGCGGTTCAGCGGAGGACGGCATGGCGCCGACACAGCTCGTCGCACAACCTCGCGCGCAGAAGCCGATGGCCCGAACGGCGATTGGGAGGCCGCCGGTGGCCGCTGCTGCCTCCTTCCCGTGGATGAGCTGGCATGGCAAGGTCGGGATGGTGGATCGATAGTGGAGTTGATAGAGGAAGGGCGAGGCAGGGCGATGGGGGAAGCAACAACACTGTTAGAGTATATTTGGTAGTTGTAGGAATATTAGGATAGGATTGATTTGATTAGAGTATTTCCTTATCTCTGTATCATCCTTATCTCTACCCGTGTAATCTCTATATATTTCAGTCCCCAAGACTCAGTACAATCATCTAACTCCTCTCTACACTATTCAATATGGTATCAGAGCGGGCTACGTTCTAGCACCAAAATTCATAGTCCTAGGATCTACATGGTATCATATCTAGACAAATGGTTGTCCAGATTTATTTTACTGGGCATAGGTTGTCTTTTTTCTGGGACGAAGGGAGTATGTGGCTAGTGTGGTTTGAATCTTGCAAAAAGTTATTCATGCACAAGACGCATGGACAGTGAAAGGACTAATGTTTCTGTGCCTTGAAGAGAGATATGCATGCCCCCCATAAATTTAACTTGTTCACGTACAGGATCCTAGCATGTCCCTAATTATATGGGTTTAACTTATTAACGTACGAACTCTCAATATATAATAGTGAACGAGTGATAGGAAGTTAGGAACACATATATCATTTGCATTACTTTTGACATGATCCGAAATCTAAGGCCAACAAATTATGGCACGCATAATTTTCTAAATCACTATTGTCGGAGAAAACTGCAACTTTACAAGTTAAACTGTCTTCCAATACTCTTCATCATGCATGATCTCATCATGCACTGGAAAATACTCAATTTTTCACCAAATATTCAGTGCTGACTGGAGTACTGGACACGCATATATAGACCTCTGAATTGTATCCTGGACCTTGAATGACCATCAGACTTTACTAGTACTCGATAGGAACATCAGAACTAATATTTCAGCAGTAATCAACTGACTCTGTCCAGGCTGGTAACATCAGAACTAATAATTCAGCAGTAAGCAATTGACTCTATCCAAGCTGATAGTACATCATACTCCTATCTAACTAAACAGCAGACAGAATCTAGGTACAACACTTGTATGGAGTGGAGATCTAATCTTTTTATAAAAAAAATGAGGAGAATTTTTTTTAAAAAAAAAATGTGCTTCTAGCTTCCAACATGCTGAGTTGCTGACTCTGTGACGCCAATATTTTTTTTGAGAACAATGTGACGCCAATTCAGAGAGGCCATGTTCAGTCCTTGTCACAAAACATATGGTCAACTCAGGCAAAACGCGGCAGAGACCTTTTGTCACAGTAATTCGCACATAAAAAATGAAAGTATACAAGATAAATGCAGAGTTGACAGAGTCACAGGCCACACTCCTACACCACAAAGGCTTCCAGACCAAGAAACCTTCCTCTCAATTTACTGAAAAAAATCAGGGGCAATTTGTGCTTCTGATACTCACGTATATTTCATACACACGTGAATGCTTTTAATAGAATTCAGAGAATTAGAGAATAGAAAGTTGTCGTTGACTCCATCTCTTTAACATATTTTAGGAGCATGCTTATAGATTCACACAAGTATGAACACATATAGTGATTTGTATATGCGTTCTCCACATGATTCAGAAAAAAAAAAGAACAATGACAACTTGATTTCATTGAATTTATTGTGGCGCATTTACAGATATATAGTGATGGAAGCAGTTTGGTGCAAGACAAAAGTAGGCAGGCGAAGTTACATCATGTACACTTTTGACTTGGTCAAACGCAAATTATATACTGACAGTGACAGGACCTAATTACAGCAGTATAGTATTAATTAATTGTTAAAAGAGAGTTTCTAATCAATTCTACTTGCAATTCTCCAAGAAGATAGCCTTTGCCATCATCTATTGCTCTGATTTAGAATTATATGTGAAAAGAGTCTCTCTCTATTAGGGGAGCGAGAGGAGATGTCTACTCATATATTTTTCTTCCAAATTCGATTCAAATAGTTGTAAAAAATTATAGAAAAAAATTGATAATATTGAGTATTGTTATACCTATCTGTGCAAAAAAAAAATCAAGTTCAATGCTGTATCAGCGTTGTCAATTTTTTTTAGAATTTTTCATAATCGTTTCAATGCTTTTTAAATAAACAAGGAAATATCATCTCTTGAGGATAACACACAATTAGATTAGACATGCTTGGACTGATGACTTAGTCAAAAGAGAAGTCCGATCACTTATTAATTTCTTGTGCATGTGCATCCAACAACCTTCGTCAGCTAGCCAAGAACAATAAGCAACTTCATAGTGTCCTAGCAACGGCGTCACCGGCCATGGCTTCCGGCCATCTCGTCGCCGTCGCCGTCGTCATCGGCTCGCTCTGCGTCGCGGCAGTCGGTCAGGGGAACAATATCGTGCTCCCGTTCGCGCCGTCGTGCTCGACCGCCGGCAACTACACCGGCGACAGCCAGTACAAGAAGAACCTCGACCAGCTATTCACCACCCTCTCCGCCGGCGCCATCGCCGGCGACTGGTTCAACACCAGCTCGGTCGGGACGGGCGCCGACCAGGTGTTCGGCCTCATCATGTGCTACGCCGACCGCAACTCGACGCAGTGCCAGGAATGCCTCGCCGGCGCTCCGGCCGGGATCGTGCAGGTGTGCCCGGGAAGCCGAACGGCGGACGCCAACTACGACGCCTGCCTCCTCCGCTACTCCGACAAGTCCTTCTTCTCCGAGCTCACCTACGGCGCCGACCCCACCATCGCCTGGAACGTCTACTTCACCCCCTTCGTCGACAACATGACCACCATGAACGACACGCGGCGGCGGCTGATGAGCCAGCTCGCCGAGAGGGCCGGCGACACCAAGCTCAGGCTGGACAACGGCAGCTTGCCGTACGCCGACTCGAAGCTCGGCACGTCGGCGTTGTACGGGCTGGCGCAGTGCACGAGGGACCTGGCGGCGAGCGAGTGCCGGAGGTGCCTCAGCGGCTACGTCGACGACCTCAGCAACACCTTCCCCAACAACAGCGGCGGCGCCATTAAGGGGTACAGCTGCTACCTCAGGTACCATCTTTGGCCGATCGACATCACGCTGCCGCCGCCGCCGTTGCCACCGCCGTCGCGGCCTCCGTCGTCGTCTCCGGCACCGCCTTCACCTCCTCCCTCGGTGTCGGGAGGACTCGTGGCCGGATCGACCGTCGGCGCCGTCTCGTTCTTGGTGGTTCTTGGTGTCTCAATCTGGCTCCTCTTGCGCCGGCGGCGGAAGCGCGCCGGCGAGGCGAGGGAGCTGGAGATGGACGAGGGCGACTTCTTCGACGATGAGGCCGATGACTTTGAGAAGGGGACTGGTCCCAAACGGTTCCACTACGGCGAGCTCGCCATCGCCACCGACGACTTCTCCGACGAGCACAAGCTCGGTGAAGGCGGGTTCGGGTCAGTGTACAGAGGATTCTTGAAAGAGTTGAACCTTGACGTCGCCATTAAGAGAGTGTCCAAGAGCTCGAAGCAGGGGAGGAAGGAGTACGCGTCGGAGGTGCGGATCATCAGCCGCCTCCGCCACCGCAACCTGGTGCAGCTCATCGGCTGGTGCCACGGCGGCGGCGAGCTCCTCCTCGTCTACGAGCTCATGCCCAACGCCAGCCTCGACACCCACCTCTACAGCGCCAACGCCGGCGTGCTCCCATGGCCACTCAGGCACGAGATCGTGCTCGGCATCGGCTCGGCGCTGCTGTACCTGCACGAGGAGTGGGAGCAGTGTGTGGTGCACCGCGACATCAAGCCGAGCAACATCATGCTCGACGCCGCCTTCAACGCCAAGCTCGGCGACTTCGGCCTCGCCAGGCTCGTCGACCATGGCCGGGGCTCACACACCACGGTGCTCGCCGGCACCATGGGGTACATGGACCCGGAGTGCATGATCACCGGCAGGGCGAACGCCGAGTCCGACGTGTACAGCTTCGGGGTCGTCCTACTTGAGATCGCCTGCGGCCGGCGACCGATAATGGCGGACCACCAATCCGAGGTAGACGAAGACCGGATCCACATTGCTCAGTGGGTCTGGGATTTATACGGCAATGGGAGGATTCTTGACGCCACTGACCGGCGGCTCAACGGCGAGTTCGACGGCGGGGAGATGGAGGCTGTCATGGTCGTCGGGCTCTGGTGCGCGCACCCTGACCGGAGCCTGCGGCCAACGATCAGGCAGGCCGTCGGCGTGCTGAGGGGCGAGGCGCCGCCGCCGAGCCTCCCGGCGAGGATGCCGGTGGCGACGTTCCTGCCGCCGGTTGATGCTTTCAACCACACATCATCTTCAGTTGCGACAGGAAGCAGCAGCGCCAGCACAGACACTACTCGGTCGTCCAGGACGACCGAGACATCTTCCTTGCTGAAATGACACTTGAGCAATGACGTTTTTTATCAGATTAATTAACTGCAAAAATGAATTGATTTTGACAGGAGCATCATACCTGTTTTTGACTAGAGTATGCAGCTGATTTTGGACTGGTAATATGATGAACATTAGTTACATAACACAAGAACACAATGGCACAAACATAAAAGGGATACAGCTATTGACACTTTCAGCATAATAATTAGTGTTCTCATTTATTATTGCCCCAAGCCATCATATAAAAGGGACTTCAGAAAGGTAGATCAACAGCTCATAATAATTCACAGTGTATGTCTATTTTCAAAACCATTTACAACGAAAAGGCCGGTCTAATGGCGTCCCTTCCCCCCAACCTACGCCCAGCCGACCTCTCCAATCTCCTTTGCTTTCTTCCTTCCATTGGACCATTCACGGTACAGGGGAAGTATAATCAAGAGTTCTCCAATAGATTGTAACTGGTACTAATTAAGCAGCAGTGGCAACTGGAGTGTCAGGATGGGCTCCCCATTCAGTCCATGATCCATCATATACAGGAACGTCGGTTTTGCCAAGGCGGTGGAGGCCCTAAGAAGAAAGCATAGGTTATGCGACGTAATGTAACAATTGCAAAGTAAATCTTGTGAACTTCCAAGTCACAGGTAGTCTTACCAGAGCTAATATACATGCTGTCACACCAGTACCACATGAGGACACCAGGGGTTGATCAAGCGATATACCTGACGAATATCACAACAAAGTAGTAAAGTTATTGCCAATATTACCAAAGATGTTGCCATAATTTTATATTTCATAATTCATACTTGCTACCACAGATCTACATCAAAATACCACAGAAAAATGATGCTAGTAACAACCACTACCAATAAACAAAGCACTGCAAGAAGTCATGCCTGGTCATTACAATCATATAAGCGACAACACCTGGCACTAGTTGGTTAATTAACTCAACCATCAACTTATACAAAAATATAAATAAGAGGCTCTTAATGTTTCAAAAGACCCAGAAGGCCAAAACATTAGGTTCATGGTTAAGATATAGGCATGTTTCAGAATGGGGAATAGGATTGCAAACATGGCTAAGCAGGGCATTGTCAGCAGACAGAAAGAATTTGAAACTTTATCTGGATAAAAATATTACCTTCTTGTTCAAATCGTTTACGGAGCTCTTCTGGAGGTAATAGCTTTTGCGAACTGTCAAGCAACTGCAGAAGAACAAACAAAGATTCAGCAAAAAGAATTGGTAATACACAAAGATTAAAAATACAAAAATATGGTCACAAATGAACCCGAATAAATAATTAATCCAATGAGACCAAAGACAACCAAAGATCAGGTAAAAGTAATTATCCAAAATTTATGTCCAAAAGAGTACAAGTTGATTGGATAATTGCAAGTCTCCACCTGAGGGAAAGGAACACATTTGCTCCCAGGCACATGCCCACTTCTTATTCCTTTCCGTGGCTCTGGAACTGCACCATCAAATCTGAAGTGAAAGCTTCATGTTAGTATTCAAGACCAATGACCAACATTACAAAGACACAACCCAATGAAGCTTGAAGCATTCACATTTTTATGAGGTAATATGGCAAATCTACCGCAATTACTGACACAAAAAAAAACAAGTCAGAAGAGTCGAAAAGATAAAACACCATAAGAGTCTGGAATGCCTACTATGTTGGTGAGGTGTTACATGGAATCATGGTTGAACTGGAAAAAGATTACTTAAAAAGGCAAAAGCCAAACAGCCGACTTTATTGGCAATGAAGATCTTGACAGATACTAGTGAGTCTATGGATATATTATCCAAATCAATGTACTAGGCCTAGGGAGGAACATGGTCTGTAGCCAGTGACGACAGGGTCTGCTGCCGTGTAGAATTTAGTTCATTACTTGAATATCGAATGATTCCTGCAAAATTTTGCCATTGTCTCCAAAATTGGAAGTGCCTTTTATAAAATCCACCATAACCCAATGGATCCTTAAGCATAAAGGTAAAGGCTTTATATACATGTAATCGTGTATGGTATATAATCTGGACTTTTCCAGAATTAAAATAGCAGATTTACCTAGGCTTTCCTCGAGCATCTATAAGTTGATGTGTCTTGGCATCAATGTTCTCTTTTACCTGAGAAAAAAAATCATGAACTAGTTATACCAAACATGCGACTGAGTTTAATAAATGGTGAAGAAATGTATGGGCAAGATTTTCAGCCTGAAGACCTCTAACCTGGTCAAGATTCCAAATAAGATGAGGCTGCAACTTTGCTTCAAATGTGGAGGGACCAACCTACAAAGATAATAAAAAGTTATGTGTGACTGAAGGTCAAGCTAAGCACCATTCACAGCAGCTACTAGCATGAGTATCACGATTCAGGGGTTGACAAGTACATAACAGGAGTAAGGTCCAAATGTTAGAACAAACAAAATAGAGGTTTAATTCAACTTACCAACTGCCCCTGATAAACTTTCTCAATTGCTTCACGAGCAGCACTGGCTTTTAAGATGGCATCACTAGAGGCACTTGATTCAACATCATACCCAGAAGCACGCCATTGGGGCAAACCACCATCCAACACCCAAACTTTATCATGTCCGAAAACACGAAACATCCTGATATCAAGGAAGCAGGCATCGCACATGAAATTTAATTCAATTATCAAAATTAACAACAAAGGAACATATTGCAAATGCACTAGTAAGAACGGCTTATGATCATTTAAGGGGAAAAAAGATTGTCTGTCGTTTCTGCCTGAATTCTACTCTTGATGTTTACTTTGGTTTCAAGAAGAAGCAGCTTACCACCAAACACGAGCAGCGCTAAATAGTCCCTTTCCATCATAAACTACTATCCCATCTTTGTTGTATATTCCAAGCGAAGATACAGCAGCAGAAAATGCCTTTTCAGATGGCAGCATGTGCGGCAACTGACTCAAAAGATAATACATTCAATGATATCAAGCATGCCGAAAAACAATTAATCAGCTCAACAATAACCAACACAAAGAAATCAAGAATGATGCCATGTTTTGCAATTCATATTCCTATCATAATAAGGGCATTATGTTGAATTGTTGATCTACTTAACCAAACAGGATTAAAAAAACATGTTAATTTATTAGTGTTACTTTTTTATCATGAAGATTGACAGTAGTAGATGAAAAATACAGTCAAGGAGAAAGGGAAAGAAAATTTAAGTGCCATTACACCAGCTAGTACAATATAAAAGCTTGACGTGATCTGAAAGAAATCAAACTTGAGTAACTTATTATCACTTTTTTTACACCAATCAGGGGATTGGGACAGACCACCAGATCACAACACACACAAATGTTATCAACCGTGTTGTGATCTGTCAGTCCCTGTTTTACTTCACCAGCTTCAACCTTTTACCTTCTGGTGTTGCCTAAAGCTATTTTTGTTGACCTGTATGAGTGGAACTTAAATGTATTGACATACTGAACTAAATGCTTTCGCTTCATGTATTTAAGGAATTGGGTTTACCAGCCCCTAAATTTGCATAGCACAAGCCCATATTCTGGCAATTTATAATGTTATATTAATAAAAAATAACATCAGAAAAGCAGGATGATGTGGCACATAAAGAAAGTTCATATGATTAGCTAGTAGTAAATGAAAAAACAAGCTAGTGAGTTGAACTTACGCTTGATGTTCTGTCTGATATTCCATCAACATCAAAGAATAGCGCCCCAGGAATATGAGCCACCTGGAAACAAGATTAAAATGCATATGAAAGCATCAGAACTTCTGCTACTATAATTTCAAATGAACTGATAAAAACAGAAAATTAAGGTAACAAGGAACCAGTGAAAATAAGAGCATATAAACAATCAGATAAGAAAAATGGCGTCACAGCAGGTGGTAAGAATTCCAAAACTGCAAAACCTCAGTATGGCATGTAATCGCTACCTGGTACTCCTGAAGAGGATTCCTTTGTTCGGCAGGCATATACCAAGAGGCATCAAGTACCTTGACAGAAACAAGAGGATGATTCAATGAGATATAGTGGATTCAAGGAAGACAAACATTTTTAACAGGGAAAAGAAAACTATCCAGTGACTACTGTTATAGTGTTATTATTATACTAGACTCATTTATCCTACTGAGAGTATATCATAATGCATATGAAAAAGAACTTTAATACAAATGCAGCTTCTGTTGTAAAAGCGAAAGTAGCCAATGGAAAGCCAGTGCCATCCTGAATGTGCTGTAGTCTGTAGTACAAAGACCTCATGCTTTTCCTCAACCATCAATCCGCACAGCTAACGCGACAAACTCAGCAATAATAAGTCACTAGCCATCCTCCTACGATTTATATCTCTCTTCCATCATCAATCAAACTGCCAGCATGGTAGAACGCCAGCAACTAGCAATTCACTATCAGTTTATTAGCTGTAGCACGGTATATGCAACAATTCACAAAAATTATCTTCCAGTTTATTAGTTGTAGCACAGTATATGCAACAATTTCACAGGTCAACCGCAGATCGCTACAGTCCCATCACTGCGCACACTACCTTCACATCGGGGTCCTTGAGGTTGGCGTGCAGCCACTCGGCCGAAACCACGGGCTCCGTCCTCGGCAGCGCGTTGGTAGCCTCCGAAACGGCCGACGACGAGGTGGCGTTGCAGCGCGCCGCGATCCCGAACGAACCGACGCCCCCCAGCGCCGCCGGCACCGACGCCCTGCACCCGAACCCGGCGCCCTCCTCGGCGGCGCGCGCCCATCCGACTCTTCCCCCCTGCACCCGCACAAAACACACAAACCACCGTCAGGCCGGAGAGATCAGGGAGAAGGCGGAGCGGCGTCGGAGTACGACCGCGAGGAGCGAGGCGATGGTGGTGGCGAGGAGGATGAGGAGGGGAGGAGGAAGGAGGGTTTCCTTGGGGAGGGAGGAGGACAGTATGTGGTGCGAGCGGGCGCCGCGGAGGGAGACGGCGGCGGCGGCAGCGGCCCGGGAGAGGAGGGTGGCCGCCATGGATAGGGTTTTGGGGGGTTCTAGAAGGTTCGCGAAGGGGTTGGTGGCGGAAGCGAGAGGAAGAAGGGGAAGAGGTGGATGGGTTGGTACTACTTCGTTGCTCGACGAGTGTTTATTAATCCGCGGGGAAAGGAAACCAACTGGTTTCGCGGGAATCCGCGGCGCCTACGGTTGGGCAGAAGAGCCAGTGTAGCTTCGCAGGCCTCTCCTGAAACGCACAAAGTTTATCTAGAAAATCAGCAGTGAGTATTCCTGTAAAGGCTTTTTTTTTTTCGAGATGTAAAGGTAGAAAAGTGTAAAAACTAAATTTTTTATCGTATCAAATCTCGTTGAGATTCATAGCAAATTATTTTTTAATGATACTAGCAAAATAAACTAAAAATATTTGTTTTTAACCGAAGTTATTTTCACACTACTTTTGCTCGCTAGAAAAAGTCTTAAATGATAGAGAGAAATGTAGTAGCTCATAATAAATTATTATTCAAGAATAATTTCAAAAAAAGGAGATAAAAAAGACAAAGCCGGTTTGATTTCCAACTTTACACGGTGCGAGTCAATATGGACTCTGAAGATATAGGCAGATCTACGAGGTGGCTTAGCAACACGATCGACCTGTGAATCAGCAAGCAACCTCAGACCAATCGATGGTCGATTGACGACCGCAGCTGCGTCTGGCCGTCCGTTTCCCTTCCGCGACAGTGGTGACCATGACTATGTGATGTTATTATTTTAGTATTTCTTACTTTTAATTCTGGATTTTTGTTATTTCTAATTATATTTTTATGTGAACTCTAAACTTATTTTTCAATATTCTTTATTTTTTAATTCAGAATTTTAGTTATGTATAAGTTATAATTCTATATGGATTCTAGACTCTTTTTTCAATATATTTTTTAAAATTTTAAAATTTATTTATTTATAAATTGTATTTCTATATGGACTCTAATCTCTACCTTTAATTTTTCTTATTTTTTAATTCTGGATTTTAATTAGCTCTAAATTGTATACCTCTAGTTTCATGCTTGTTAATGAACCATCAATTTATAGCATGTGGATTTTGAGCGACAACTATACTATATGTTGGTTTTTAAGAAACCGGTACCTATAATATAGTGTCGGTTCTTATAAAAAAACAACAAAAAAAACCGTGCTGAGCCAAGCCGAGGCAACATCCTTATCCAGTCCCCCTCCCACTCTCTCTCGCTCTCCTCTAGTCCTCTCACTCTCTCACTCTCACTCTCTCTTTCTTGGTCCTCGATCCGCGGCGGCGGCGGCTCCATCCGCCGCCTCTCTTTTCCCTCCCGCGGCGGTGGTGGCGTCAACGGCAGGCGGATCTGGCGGCAGGTGTTCTTGGATGTGATGTGATGTATGTTGTTGTTCTTGGATGATTATTTTATGATTTTGTGATGATTGTGGTTGATTTTTGGGGGTAAAGAGTGGTTGAATTTTATTTTTTTTATCCGATTCTAAGAGCGATTGGGATTCGGGGGAGCTGCAAAGGTGGCCTTCGTCCATCTTGTGACGAATGGAAAATTACCAATCTTTTAATTAGTTAAGATGTATAATGTAATTGTTGAATATACTTGTGAATTGGTACATGAAGAAAATGCGTGAATTTGAATTGACGGCACATCCGAATCACGTCATACAAAAAAATATATATCTTTTTAATGTAATTGTGGAAATATTCTTATGCATTGCTAAAAGTGTGGACTTGAACTGACGACACATCTAAATCATGGCACATAAAAATTATACCTATTGTAATTATGAAAACTGACGACATATCTAATAATGAATATCAATGTTATTATTTTTTTAGGGAGTATTGTTTTCTATTTATAAATCACATTTGAGATCAAATATGAAGAAAAAAAAAGAGGAAGAAGCAGAGTAGACGGGGAGAAAAAAACAAAGACAAAAGCAAGGGAAGCGCAGTGGATAGAGAGGGGCAATAAGAAAACAGCAGCAGCAGTGTCTCGTTTATTCCACTCACTCTCTCTCGATCTCTCCCCCCACACGATATGTCCTTCCTATCCTTTCCCACTACTTTACTTCCCACTACTTTACTTTCTCTCTCCTCTCTCCCTCGTATGCATTGTTAATGTTTGTAGTGTCATAATTACAAATCCCCCGGCTCTGGCGAGGCGTTGGATTTAGGCGGTCCTCTCTCTCGTTTTGCTCTCCTCTCTCTCTCTCGGTCTTCTCTCTCGCTCTCCTCTCTCTCGGAGCTGAGGCGACAGGCGGTGGCGCAAGAGGGGAGGCTGCGGCGGGTAGAGACGGTGCGGCCCAGCGGCGGGAGGCGGCATCGATCGGCGGTGATGGCCACGCCCTCCCATCTGCGGCAGCGGCATGCAGCGAGAGGAGCGGCGGCCGCTCGGAGGCGCCCTTCCTCGGGCAGATCCGACGGGAGGAAGGGTAGTGGCGGCCCGACATCGCCACCACGGCCTCGGGGCAGCAGTGTCCTCGGCCTGCCATGATTTTGTTGTTGGATTTGTGATTTGATTTTCTGGGATGATTTTTTTGTTGGATTTGTGATTTCCTGATTTAGTGGATTTGTGATTCATTTTCTATCGTTTCTTTGTATTGTCGCTCAGATGGATCGGATCGGGAGGGAGGTAATACATGGATATTAGGTTTGTTCTGGGGATCAAATTTATGAGGTCGAGATTAAATTTGGTATTTTCGTGTTGTGTTTTTGGTTGTCTGATTGATTGATTGATTTGGGGATCTAGCTCGGGTTTTTTTTTTTTTTGAAGATAGACTCGGACTCAAACGAACGAAGCAGGGACGGATCGCACGGACGAGTGAAAAATTGCGCATACCGACGAAAGTTTGGGTGACAAAAGGAAAATTACAAATCTGTTAATTAGTTAAGATAAGATAAGGCGTAAGAGTGCGAGACCAAATTTATTTGTAGGGTAGTGCGCTAGGCAAGAGTATATATAGGACATATGCCGTATATCGGTTTTTATATTGTAAGTCAGTTGTAAGGGTAGATTTACTTGCTCACGAGTTTATGCAAATTTTAACATTTTAAAAGGAAAAAAAATATGTTTTCTATTTAAAAGATCCAAAAGTTTGCAACCGCAACAAAAGATTGCACAAGTTAAAGAATAGGACAATCGCTACCGTAGCCTGTTGGAGTCACCTACCGTCTAGAAGGATGCTTTTTTATGAAGAGAAAAACATGCCGCTCCTCCTCAAACCGAATCGGATCCAGAATTGCAGATTCATGTGACAAGCATCAATCATCATGCCTGACGTCTGATCTTCACAATGGTAAAAAAAATGTTGAACAATTATTTGGTCAGTGGGAGGACCGACTGGACAGTAACCTTGGGTAATCTGACCATCCGAAGGATAGGCAGTAAAAGAAACTCCATTATGTTCAGACACTATAAGCAATAGAAATGTTCCATGAGATGATCGCGATCTTCCGTGAAATGCAATTCTGAAAGTCTCAGATTTTCAATGTGTTCCGTTTCCAGCAGGCTGGTAGATCAGAGAACCCTATGACTGTCACTGATTCACTGATTTTCAATGTGTTCTTAAACCGGTAGAATGGATATGTAGCCTGAAAACAGGACAGTTAACAAATCAATCCAATTTGGGAGCTTCGGAAGCGTGTACGTGATAATCCATAGTCTACAAGAAAAGGAACAGGGCCTAAACAGGGGTAAAAATCAATCCAATTTTGCAATTGATCTGATACATAAAATGCATGTCAAATTATCAATACTCAATATGTCATCTTAGCAAGGACGATGTCTCAGTGTGAGGAGCGCCAGTGCTGCCGCTGCTGCTCCCTGTCACAGCCAAAGATGACGTGTAGCCAAAAGCATCAATCGGTGGCAGGAACGTCGCCACCGGCATCCTCGCCGGGAGGCTCGGCGGCGGCGCCTCACCCCTCAGCACGCTGATGGCCTGCCTGATCACCGGCCTCACGCTCCGGTCAGGGTGCGCGCACCAGAGCCCGACAACCATGACACGCTCCATCTCGCCACCGTCGAACTCGCCGGTGAGCCGCCGGTCAGCAGCGTCAAGAATCCTCCCATTGCCGTACAAATCCCAGACCCATTGAGCAAGGTGGATCCGGTCTTCGTCTACCTCGGATTGGTGGTCCGCCATTATCGGTCGCCGGCCACAGGCGATCTCAAGGAGGAGGACGCCAAAGCTGTACGCGTCGGACTCGGCGTTGGCCCTGCCGGTGATCATGCACTCCGGGTCCATGTACCCCATCGTGCCGGCGAGCACCGTGGTGTGTGGTCCCCGGCCGTGGTCGACAAGCCTGGCGAGGCCGAAGTCGCCGAGCTTAGCGTTGAAGGCGGCGTCGAGCATGATGTTGCTTGGCTTGATGTCGCGGTGCACCACGCACTGCTCCCACTCCTCGTGCAGGTACAGCAGAGCCGAGCCGATCCCGAGCACGATCTCGTGCCTGAGTGGCCATGGGAGCACGCCGGCGCTGGCTTTGTAGAGGTGGGTGTCGAGGCTGGCGTTGGGCATGAGCTCGTAGACGAGGAGCTCGCCACCGCCGTGGCACCAGCCGATGAGCTGCACCAGGTTGCGGTGGCGGAGGCGGCTGATGATCCGCACCTCCGACGCGTACTCCTTCCTCCCCTGCTTCGAGCTCTTGGACACCCTTTTAATGGCGACGTCAAGGTTCAACTCTTTCAAGAATCCTCTGTACACTGATCCGAACCCGCCTTCCCCGAGCTTGTGCTCGTCGGAGAAGTCGTCGGTGGCGATGGCGAGCTCGCCAAAGCGGAATCTCTTCGGCCCTGTCCCCTTCTCGAAGTCGTCTTCCATGGCCGTCTCATCATCGAAGATGCCCCCCTCTTCCATCTCCTGCTCCTTCGTCAACCCAGCATGCTTCCGCCGCCGGCGCAAGACAAACCGGACTGAGAAACCAAGAACCACCAAGAACGAGATAGCGCTGACAGTCAGGCCTGCCACAAGCCCCGCTGACACTGAGGGAGGAGGTACTGGCGTCGCCGGAATCGGCGGCGGCGGCGACGACGACAATGGTGACGGCGCCGGCGGCAGAGTGATGTTGAATGGCCAAAGGTCGAACCTCAGGTAGCAGCTGTACCCCTTAATGTTGCCAGCGCTTTGGTTGGTGTAGTACTGGCCGAGGTCGTCAACGTACCTCTTCAGGCACTTCTGGCACTCGCTCCCGCTAGGTCCCTCGTGCACTGCGCCAGCCCGTACAACCGCGACGTGCCGAGCTTCGAGTCGACGTACGGCATGCTGTCGTTGAACAGTCTCAGCTTGTTGTCACCGGCCCTGTCCGCGAGTTTGTTCATCAGCTCCCGCCTCGTGTCGTTCATGGCCGTCATGTTCTCGACGTAAAGCCCGTTGAACGTGTAGGTGGAGCGATTGACTTCGACCTTGCCGTAGGTGAGCTCGGAGAAAAAGGACGCATCGGAGTAGCGGAGGAGGCAGGCGTCGTAGTTGGCCTTGACCGTCCGGCTTCCGGGGCACACCTGCTTGATCCCGGCGGGCGCTCCGGCGAGGCATTTCTTGCACTCCGTCGCGTTGTAGTCGGCGTGGCACATGATAAGGCCGAATACCTGGTAGGCAGTACCCGTCCCGACCGAGCTGGTGTTAAACCAACCATCGTCGGTGGCGGCCGTGGCGAGCGTGGAGAGGAGCTGGTCGAGGTTCTTCTCGAACTGGTTGCCCACGGTGTAGTTGCCGGTGGTCGAGCAGTCTGGCCAGAGCGGCTCTTCGTAGTTGCTCCGAGCAACTGCCGCCGAGGCAACCACGGCGAGGAGGAAGAGGATGATGACAAGGCGAGGAGCCATAGCTGGCGACGCCTTGAATTTGCTAGGAACATGAATGCTTTGGTCCCAATTTATCTTGGATGACAATTGAAGGGACGGGGTTCATGTGCAGTTTTTTCAAAGAGAACTAGTGTTCGATTACGCGTTGGATCATATAGTATACACTACTGGTTGGCCACTTGGCCAGATCACTGTTTGGTGTTTGCACCGTATATATGTACCGTGACCGAGTCTGTCTCGCGGTTAACTAAAAGGGGTCGTTAGCTGATTGGAATGAATGGGTCTATCTCTCTAGTAAGGGGTAATTTTTTTGGACACCATTGGCGATAATGCATAGGAACCAGTCAGCTTTGCAATTGCATAGTAAGGATTACGTACGAAAATGATTCGGTCCACCGCAAAAGAAAAAAAGAAGAAGAAGAAGACGACTCGGTCCGTGCGCCCGATCCAACGAAAAGTAATCGGCTGTGTTTCCACTGCTGGAGTGCTGGTACTGCTCCCTGTCACAGCCGAAGATGTGTAGCCGAAAGCATCAATCGGCGCTAGGAACGTTCCCTACTACCGAACACGCTTTTCGCATACAGTTGAGCGGACTGCATGAAAGAAACGGAAAGGCTAAAAAACTGTCGACACATTTTTCTCTAGAAATATGTCGATTTCTGATCCATTAGATCAACTGTAGGATTCGGGCTATTTTGGTTGACGAAAATAAAATTGTACTGTAAAGAATCGAACTAGGATCTCCAGTGGCTTGTCCAGCGGCCCTGACCAACTGATCGAGCAAAGATTTTGGCTTGAATTAAAATTACATACTAATTACACTTAAATTGCATATTATTTACATATGTAATTTAGAGACTTACATTGTAAATACACTAAAATTACATATGTAATTTATAGACTTACATATGTAATTTTAGCACTTACATTGTAAATATACTAAAATTACATATGTAATTTATGAACTTACAATGTAAATACATACCGACTATTTTTTTTGTGAAAAATATGGCGCTATAAATATAGCTGCACCCGAAAGAAAATGTCTACGAAAATCATGATTTTCACGTGCGGCTAGCGCAACCGTTGTGAAAACGAAAAATCACGAAAAAAGATAAAAATTCCAAAAATCAAAAAATAAACTGCCGCCACGTACGGCTCGCTACGGTTGTCTATCCTCAGCGTGTTGTCACCGGCCCTCTCCGCTAGCTTGTTCAGAAACTGCCATCGCGTGTTGTTCATGGTGGTCACGTTCTGGACGACGATTTGGTCACCGGCTAATTTTGTGTAGCTGATGTTGGTGCTGGCGTCGTAGGCGGAGAAGAAAGGCTTGTCGGAGTAGCGGAGGAGGCAGGCGTCGTTGCTGGCGGTCACCGCCCGGCTTCCGGGGCACTCCTGTCTGACCCCAGCGGGCGCCCGGGCAAGGCATTCCTTACACCTCGTCGCATCGCCGGCGTCGGCGTAGCACATGATGAGGCCGAACGCCTGGTCGGGACCCGTCCCGACCGAGCTGGTGTTGAACCAGTCGCCGGCGATGGCGCCGGCAGAGAGGCTGGAGAGGAGCTGGTTGAGGTTCTTCTCGAACTGGCTGCCCCTGGTATAGTTACCGGTGGTCGAGCAGTCTGTCCTGAACCACTGATCTACTATCTCGTTGCTCTGAGCAACTGCCGCCGAGGCAACCATGGCGAGGAGGAGGAGGATGACAAGCCGCGATCAGAAAGTATTTTCTACACCTAGGTACCATGGCACCTAGGTGTATGCATATAATTTAAATAATTATATAAAAAATACATAAAATTTAATAAGATAGTCCATGATAATATAAGACACTATGCAAATATGTAAGTCTAAATTCGATCGATATATGAAGAAACAAAAATAACAAATTTTATCGGCACTGTACGGGTACTATTGACTGTCTGATTTTATTATTTTTGTTTCTCTAGTTGTAGATTAAATTTAGTCATGCATGTTTGTATATAGACTTGTATCATCACAAACGATGTTACTAATTTTTTTTAATTTTTTCTATAACTATTTGAGTCGTATGCAAATGATACAAGTCACGATGCCATGCCCATGACCGGCTAGCTGGCGACGCTCTTGATTTGCTATGAACATGAAGGCTTTGATCCCAATTTATCTTGGATTACAATTGAAGGGATGGAGTGCATATGTATGCATGTTTTTTTTTAAGACAACTAGTAGCGGTCAAGCACCAGTTCTCGATGATACGCGCTGGACCATGTCTAGTTGGACACTTGGCAAGATACTCCTAATTATTTGGTGTGTGTATCGTACCGTACCGTGACCGAGTGGGTGTGTTCGGATGCCCCTTTTCTCATCCCCTCATCATCGCTTTCCACGTGCACGCTTTTTAAACTGTTAAATGGTATGTTTTTTAAAAAAGTTTTTATACGAAAGTTGCTTAAAAAAATCAAATTAATCTATTTTTTAAAAAAATTAGCTAATATTTAATTAATCACGCGCTAATGGACTACTCTGTTTGCCGTGCGTTACCGTTCCAGCTGGGATATGGAGATCACCTGTGTTCGTTACTTCTGGATAGGAGCGAATCCCTCCAGCACGAAAAATGGGGTGATCCATTAACACGTGATTAATTAAGTATTAGCAAATTATTTTTTAAAAAATGGATCAATATAATTTTTTAAGCAATTTTCGTATAGAAACTTTTTATAAAAAACACACCGTTTAGTAGTTTAAAAAGCGTGCTTATGAAATACAAGAGAGAGAGGTTAGGAACCTGGGTTGCCGAACACATGAGGTCGTTACGTGATTGGAATGAATGGGTCTCTCTCTCTCTGGTGGTAATTTTTTTGGACGCCATTGGTAATATTGCATAGGAACCAGCCAGCTTGCAATTGCACGCCTGGCTGGATGAGTCAGTACTTGAGGATTATTGGGCTGTCCCATCCTATAGATCGAATAAAGTGGGTGAAGTACGGATATTTTGCTGTTTTCGCATGCCACGGCCTTCCTCATTCTCTCTCAACTCACTGTAGTCACCGCCCTAAGGGCATCCATAATATACATCTAAAGTGGATAGTAAGGAATAAAATACCACTACTACCCGGTTGTATACATTGTGAGAGCAGTAAGTAGCTAATACTAAGTAATATGCTTACTACCTAGTAATAAGGAATAAACAAATGATTTCTCTCATTTTTCTCTCATGGCTAATGATTGTGGGGTCCAGCTTACTACCCATTTTTGTTCTTTCACCATTGTGGCTACAACAACAACTAATACCCACTGACACAGGGCTCACCCTTATTCACAAAGTAGGGAGTAAACATTGGTGATGCCTTAACCAACGAGACCGTAACAGTGAGCATATTGGACTTGGACCAAGATCAGCCCCAAATAATTTTAGGCCTTCTTCTTTTCTAGACACTTTTCTAATAAGTTATCGTGATATGCTTTTTTTTTTTAGGAAAGGCATTGCGCCCAGCTTTCACTAGAAAGCGTAAGAGTTCATTACAAAAGCTAAAAGAAAACGAAAGCAATATCATGCTGGGGATTCCAGCTGACTATGAAAGGTCCTGAGCACGCAGGCTCATTCAAAAGCTGCTGGCACAGCCACAACCAGCCAGAGAGAAAACACTACTGCAAACAGAGAACTAATCAGTGATCGAAGGACTGCAGCGAAGATCTCCTGTCTCGTGGAAGCTGGCAAGCAACAAGCCCCTTAGCGTATCCAAGTCTCCCCTCATTTTCACCGGCGCCAAACGTCTCCACTGTACCAGAAAAGACACAATCTTATAAGATAATATCATAATGTCAGCTACTTCCTCCGTTTTACAATGTAAGTCATTCTAACATTTTCCACATTCATAGTGATGTTAATGAATCTAGATAGATATATATGTCTAGATTCATTAACATCAATATGAATATAGGAAATGCTATAATGACTTACATTGTGAAACGGAGGGAGTAGCAACTTATTGTTAAAAACCCAGTCGTTTCTCACACTCCACAAAGCCCAGAAACATGCAGCAATCAAAGTGAGCCCAACAAGATTCTTTTCCCTATTTTTGTTCTGAACAATTTCTAAGAGATCAGCTCTGGAAGTAGGGACTCTATCCCAATGTAAAGTATCTCTAATAATATTACACCACAGGAACTGAGCAGGGGCACATCTAAACATAAGATGATCAACATATTCTTCTAAGCCACACAATTTGCACTCAAAACTCCCCCCCCCCCCCCCAAATCATCTTTTTCGGCTGATTAGCAACTTGGATTCTTCCTTTCAAGGCTAGCCATAAGAAGATCTTGATTTTCAGAGGGGCTGGGTGTTGGCAACTTTTTGTGACAAGTTGACAAACACGATCGCAGCACCTAACGCTTTGCGGTGATCTCAGAGTCGCCAACCACCTCAATCTAGCAAAAGCTAAACCAAGATGGGTTTTGATAACTAAACTGGCTAGCGGAGCCGATTCTAGATAGAGCGATAGATAACTACCCGTCTCGTGGGCAAAACGGAATATTTTCAGGATAAACCTACAAAGAAGTATCGCACTCTCGCAGCGGCGGCGGACGATTTACGAAGCAAATCGACAAAGATGAACAAACTAAACTATAATTAGAAGCAAAAGTAAAAGAACGATTCGATTGATTGATTGTTGGTTGATTGTTTACAATGAACCGGCCTTACCCCCTTATATAAGGGTTGGTCTTGCCCTCTACAGGCCCTCCTCCACGTTCAACTCGGGATAGAATCCAAAGGAAACCGAAACATGCCTTCCCGAGCAAGGAAACCGCGAGACCCAACGAAACAGACTCGGGCTCGGACTCTGCCGGTCAGACCGACCACACATTGCCGGTCTGACCGGTCCACTGTCAGCGGTCTGACCGGCCAACTAACGGCGGTCAGACCGGCCCTCTCAGAGGAAAACCGGTAGACTTCCAAACTTTGGCAATTTTTCCTATTTTATCCCTAGGTGCCAAATGTGGGTGCATTTCTATATGGACTCTATACTCTACTTCTAATATTCCTTATTTTTAATTCCAAATTTCTATTATTTCTTAATTGTATTTCTATATGGACTCTATACTATACGTCTAATATTCCTTATTTTTAATTCCGAATTTCAGTTATTTCCTAATTGAATTTCTATATGTACTCTATACTCTACTTCTAATATTTCTTATTTTTAATTCCAAATTTATATTATTTCATGTATTTCTATATGGACTCTATACTCTACTTCTAATATTCCTTATTTTTAATTCTGAATTTCAGTTGTTTCCTAATTTTATTTCTATATGGACTCTATACTCTACTTCTAATATTTCTTATTTTTAATTCCGAATTTCAGTTGTTTCCTAATTGTATTTCTATATGGACCCTATACTCTACTTCTAATATTCCTTATTTTTAATTCCGAATTTCAGTTATTTCCTAATTGTATTTCTATATGGACTCCAGTATCCTCTTCTAATATTCTTTATTTTTAATTCCGAATTTCAACTATTTCTAAATTGTATTTCTATATGGACTCTAGTCTCCTCTTCTAATATTCCTTATTTTTTTAATTTCGAATTTCAGCTATTTCTAAATTGTATTTCTATATGGACTCTGCTTTTTCTTTTTCTCCGATTAATGTGAGAATTTCTAGGCCATGAGAGCGAACGTGGAGGCTCCTTTTTCTATTCCTTTAATAATATAGTAGGTATATTTAACACTGAATCAAATGATAGGAAAAAAAATTAATAATTATACAAGAAATATTAATTCTTTTCATAACTACCCTTCTACTACACTAGCTACTACACCTAGTATAGAGGTGTAGTAGCAACGAATTTTCACCCTTAGATCCCATATCTTCAACGGCCCACATCCAACCAAAGATACACTAAAAAAATTAATAAAAAAATTAATCCAATGTGCAGTTGATCTTATACACAAAATGCATTGCTGAGATGTCAAATATGTCATCTTAGCAAGGACGATGTCTGAGTGTTAGGAACGCCTATGTTGCCGCTGCTGGTGCTGCTCCCTGTTACAGCCGAAGATGTGTAGCCGAAAGCATCAATCGGTGGCAGGAACGTCGCCACCGGCATCCTCGCCGGGAGGCTCGGCGGCGGCGCCTCACCTCGCAGCACGCTGACGGCCTGCCTGATCACCGGCCTCACGCTCCTGTCAGGGTGCGCGCACCAGAGCCCGACGATCATGACACGCTCCATCTCCCCGCCGTTGAACTCGCCATCGAGCCGGTGATCGGCGGCGTCAAGAATTCTCCCCTTGCCGTACAGATCCCAGACCCATTGAACAAGGTGGATCATGTCTTGTCCTTTCTCAGCTTGGTGTTCCGGTGCCATTACCGGCGGTCGGCCGCAGGCAATCTCGAGGAGGACGATACCGAAGCTGTATATGTCGGACTCAGTGTTGGCCCTACCGGTGATCATGCACTCCGGATCCATGTACCCCATCGTGCCGGCGATCACCGTGGTGTGGGAGCCCCGGCCATGGTCGACGAGCCTCGCGAGGCCGAAGTCGCCAAGCTTGGCGTTGAAGGCGGCGTCAAGCATGATGTTGCTCGGCTTGATGTCGCGGTGCACCACACACTGCTCCCACCCCTCGTGCAGGTACAGCAACGCCGAGCCGATCCCGAGCACGATCTCGTGCCTGAGTGGCCATGGGAGCGCGTTGGCGCTATGGTTGTATAGGTGGGTGTCGAGGCTGGCATTGGGCATGAGCTCGTAGACGAGGAGGAGCTCGCCGCCGCCATGGCACCAGCCGATGAGCTGCACCAGGTTGCGGTGGCGGAGGCGGCTGATGATCTGCACCTCCGACGCGTACTCCTTCCTCCCCTGCTTTGAGCTCTTGGACACTCTTTTAATGGCGACGTCAAGGTTCAATTCTTTCAAGAACCCTCTGTAAACTGACCCGAAACCGCCTTCCCCGAGCTTGTGCTCGTCGGAGAAGTCGTCGGTGGCGATGGCGAGCTCGCCGTAGCGGAACCGTTTGGGTCCAGTCCCCTTCTCAAAGTCACCGGCCTCATCGTCGAAGAAGTCACCCTCGTCCATCTCCTGCTCCATCGTTAGGCCGGCGTGCTTCCGCCGGCGGTGCAAGAGGAGCCAGATTGAGACACCAAGAACCACCACGAACGAGACGGCGCCGACGGTCAATCCGGCCACGAGTCCTATCGACACCGAGGGAGGAGGAGGTGCAGGCGGTGCCGGAGGCGGCGACGGCGGCGGGGGCAGCGTGATGTCTATCGGCCAAAGCTGGTACCTGAGGTAGCAGCTGTACCCCTTAATGGCGCCGCCGCTGTTGTTGGGGAAGGTGTTGCTGAGGTCATTGACATAGCCGCTCAGGCACCTCCGGCACTCGCTCGCCGCCAGGTCCCTCGTGCACTGCGCCAGCCCGTACAACGCCGACGTGCCGAGCTTCGAGTCGACGTACGGCAAGCTGCCGTTGTCCAGCCTGAGCTTGGTGTCGCCGGCCCTCTCGGCGAGCTGGCTCATCAGCTGCCACCGCGTGTCGTTCATGGCGGTCATATTCTCGACGTAGAGGTTCGTGTCGTCGACGTCCAAGGAAACGTTGGTGTTGCCGCCATAGGTGGTGAGCTCGGAGAAGAAGGGCTCGTCGGAGTAGCGGAGGAGGCAGGCGTCGTAGTTGGCGTTCACCGACCGGCTTCCGCGGCACGGATGCTGGACCACAGCGGGCGCCATGGCGAGGCATTTCTGGCACTCCGTCGCGTTGCTGTCGGCGTAGCACATGATGAGGCCGAACACCTGGTCGGCGCCCGTCCCGACCGAGCTGGTGTTGAACCAGTCCCCGGCGATGGCGCCGCCGGAGAGGCTGGTGAACAGCTGGTCGAGGTTCTTCTTGTACTGGCTGTCGCCGGTGTAGTTGCCGGTGGTCGAGCACGACGGCTGATACGGGAGGTTCAGGTTGTGATGACCGATTGCCGTCTCGCATAGCGAGCCGACGACGACGGCGAGGAAGAGGAGGAAGATGACAAGGTCCGAGGCCATGGCCAGCCAGCGACGCCACTAGTTCCTAGGAACAGGAAGGCTTTTTCGATGACGAATTAGGGATGGAGACTGTTAGAGTTTGTGTGGATCTCCTGTGATGTTTTCTTCGCGTTTAGCTACCGATGTCGATTTTAGGGCTGGTTTTATAACAGAGACTTATGAAAGAATTGATGGCAAATTTGAGTTTGTGTGGATGACTGGACGTACGCATATGCAGTTCGTCTCTTTTAAGCGGGGACAATTCTACTCTTACGCGTACTTGGGCCGTTTCTAGCTACTCACATGTGTTGGACCAATTTTTTTTCCCTCTTGGACATGCATGCATGCACATGCTTGGGTTTACTGGCCAAATGTGAATTCTTACGTATTGAACCTATGCAAAGTAGGATATATTATTTCACAAATATACAAATTTAAACTTTATACGAATAGAAAACATAACAAATTTCACAGCGAATAGTATGTTTTATGTTTGTGAAATGACATGTTTTATATTGATTTATCATACCCATATTTTTCAAACTTTTTAATAGATACTTAAGTGGCATGCAAAAGAATATCCCCTAATGGACAAAAAATAGTTCCCCCCCCCCTCTCTATTATCACTACGATCGACCAGCTAATGAACAGAAAAGATTCTAATAGGAATGCCCCCTTTTACCATTTAAATAGATGTAAAAGAACTGAAAAAATAGCAAGATATATTTTAAAATATGGTATATCGCTCCACAAACATATTCAAATACAACTTCTACAAGTTGTAAAAAATTAAATTAAATTTTGACTTGTATGCGTATATACAGTTATATTTTTTTTATTATAACTTGTAGAAGACATATTTAAACTTGTATGCTTATAAAATGATATATCACATATTAATCTATCTTACAAACATTTTTTAAGGTAATATGCAGCACACGAGAGGACATTCCCTTTTAAAGCATGTTAATTTAATCCCAAAGAGAGAGATTGGAAGGGATTGAGAGAGAATAATTATATTACACAGTACTACAATAGATGTAGAATAAATCTTCTCTGAATCCACCGCGATTTCTTTATGGGAGAGATTAACCGAACGAGGTCTTTTAATAGTTTAGAATACTTTCTCTGGTCATACATGCATGATTTCTTCTCTGTGTTTCCTCGTGCACTTGGACGACCTTCTGGTTCTTGTGCTTCTCTCGATGCATTGAAGTATGAATAATACCTGAACACGTAGGTAATACACCACGAGTGGCGCCCGGATCTGTCGTAGTGTAGCGTGCGTGCGTGCGTGACTCAGCATGTGACGAACTAGATGAGGTTGTTGCCTGCTTGCAAGCAATGGCTTTGACGCGCGCGCGTGGCATAGGAACCCAGTCAGCGGCTGATCCATGCCCAGCAGCTGGATGAGTTGCCGCGTACGCACGCCAAGTGTTCGGCCGGCGGTCTCGGCACTCTAGGCGCTAGGTCTCCAGGGCGAGAGGAAGGCGAGCACGGCAAGGGGATGGCATGCACAGGCGGGAGGTGCTCGTCGGCGAACGAGGTGAAGGGCGAGGCAGATGGCGATGGCGAGCTCGATGGGCATGCACGCAAGGTGCTCGACGAAGGGTGGTTCGATGAAGGCGAGCGGGAAAAGATGCGAATCTAGCTGGCCTTGCCGCGCATATAGGCGCGGTGGAAGCGGATCCTCTGACTTAACTGTACGTGTAGCTGAGTCACTGACATGTTGGTTTCACTTTACTATGACCCATATATCAGTGACTCAACTGCAAGTAAAAGGATCCTAGGCGCGGCACTTGATGACAGAATTCAGACACAAAACATGTTGAATTCAGAATATCTGAAGAACATGCGTGACAAGATTTTCGGCATTGCCAACTCATGATATGGTAGTATCAATCACCTGAAATAAACTCAGATTTCAGTGTCGTTCTATTCAGACGTTTTTATCCAAGTATTCCTTCGAGATCAAATTTCGCATCGGCCAACAACAGGCACCAATTCTGCTGCGTCGCTAATCACTCAACGAATTCATCGAGACAGCTGATTAAGCTAATTCGATTGAGATTTGCATCCGTGGATTGCCGTTTCACCAATCTGAACGAGCTAGCTGATGCAGTGATCCTGGTCCGGCGGCCATGGAAACCATAGCTCCTACCGTCCTGCGGAGGTGTCGTTGCTGGTGGGCGCCGACGCTGTGGACACCGGCGGGCCGTACGTCGCCACCGGCATCCTCACCGGGAGGCTCGGCAGCGGCGCCTCGAACCGCAGCACGCTGACGGCCTGCCTGATGGACGGCCGCAGGCCGCGGTCGGGGTGCGCGCACCAGAGCCCGACGGCCAGCACGCGCTCCATCTCCGCGACGTCGAACTCGCCGTTCAGCCGCGTGTCGGCGGCGTCGAGGATGCCGCCCCCGGCGGCGCCGCCGTGCGTGTCCCAGACCCACTGCGTCAGGTGGATCGCGTCCTCGCCGCCGTTGATGACCACCGCGGGCCGCCGGCCGCAGGCCACCTCGAGAAGGACGACGCCGAAGCTGTACACGTCGGACTCGACGCTCGCCCTCCCGGCGAGGAGGAAGCACTCCGCGTCGATGTACCCCATCGTGCCGGCGATGCCCGTCGTGCGCGAGCGCCGGCCGTCGTCTATGAGCCTCGCGAGGCCGAAGTCGCCGAGCCTGGCGCTGAACGACGCGTCCAGCATGACGTTGCTCGGCTTGATGTCGCGGTGCACGACGCGCTGCTCCGCCTCGTGGTGCAGGTACATCAGCGCGGCGCCGACGCCGAGCACGACCTCGTACCTGGCCGGCCATGGCAGCACGTTCCCCGAACTGTGGATGTGGGCGTCGAGGCTGCCATTGGGCATGAGCTCGTAGACGAGGAGCAGCTCGTCGCCGCCGTCGTGGCACCAGCCGACGAGCGGCACGAGGTTGCGGTGGCGGAGCCGGCTGATGATCCTCACCTCGGCGACGAACTCCTTCCATCCCTGACGAGATGTCTCGGCCACCCTCTTCACGGCCACGTCGCCGCCGTTCAAGAACCCGCGGTACACCGACCCGAAGCCGCCACTCCCCAGCCTCCTGTCGTCGGAGAAGTTCGCCGTGGCCGCGGCGAGCTCGCCGTAGTGGAATCGCCGGGGCCCGGCGGCCTCTAGCTCCAGCTCATCCTCAATGGGTTTCCCGCGGAAGAATCTTGCATCCTTCGGTAGATGTTTCCGCGCCATCTTCACCGTGAGCTTGGCATTATTCCGCCGCCATTGTCGGCGGCGTAAGAGGCACCAAACAGAGAGAGCGAGGCAGAGCAAGAACGCCACCGAACCGGCGGTGGCAAACTCTACTACCCGCATTCGACGACGTTTTCCTGCATTGGAAATTGAGGAAGAAGAGACAGTCGATCGTGAGAGAAGAGAGGGAAAACTCAAATCATAAGGGATATTCCTTTATTTTTACATGTTACTTAAAAAATCATCAAAAAATTGAAAAAAAAAAGTAGGACAGATAAATATGTGATATGTCACTTCACAAATACACAAATTCAAATTCAACTTATACAAGTAGAAAAAAAATGACAAATTTTTTATTTTTGTTTTGAATTGTATAAATCGATTTTTAGCTCGCATGTTTGAGAAAAGATATATTGATCTATCTTGATAATTTTTTTTAATTTTTTATAACTTTTTGAACGACACGTATAAAACGAGGGGATGTCCCCTCAAGGGAAAAAATCCACTTCTAGAAAATAGTACACTTTTGCAATAAAAAAACAAAAAGGCGCACGAATTAGTCTATTTACAACTTAAATATGAAGGCGTTCATCCTTACATGTTATCTAAATAGTTAGAATAGTTTCCTATATATCGCTACATGAACATACCGAACTAAACTCATATAGTACGTGCAACCTCGCACTGTATCGTACAGTTCATTTCAAAAAAAACAAATTTGGCTTTAAACAATATTAGTATTTCCTCCATTTCAAATTATTTGTTGTTTTATATTTATTTTAAGTCAAATATGTCTATCTCAACTATTAATTTCTAAAAAATCGTATGGTTTAATAACATGTGAATATTATATATTATGAAAGTATTTATCATGATATAACTAAAAAAATAGATCTTATGATATTACTATGAGTTTATAAAAGTTGATGATTGAGATTAAAATATTTGACTTTGGACCATATAGAACAACAAGTAATTTGAAATAGAGAGAATAGTATTAATGATCGAATTTAATTTTTTTTGCTTTGTAGATCTCTTATGTCGACCTGAAATATAATTGTGCAAGATTGTGCATACATGTTGTATCAATATTATCATTTTTAAAAAAAAATATAACTATTTGATTGATATTTGACTGTTTGAGAAATGAGAAGGAAATGGGCACTCCAGTTGTAAAAATAAATCTCCCCCGCAAGTTTATCTGAAGAGATTTTCTCCCGTCCTCCTTTCGGTACCACACGGTACTGGTACCATGAGGTACCAGTTTTCATCCGGCCGTCCATTGCTAAAGGGGTACGATGGGCATGAGGCTGTATCGCGTGCGCTATCCATCTCAGGTTTTGGGCGACCTCATCCTGAAGCGCCATAGCCATCCCATCCCACGAGGCCACGACCAAGCAGGCAGCAAGGGCTACCCACCCGCTTGACCGGAAGTGCCGCCGCGGCAGGTGCACGGGCTACTGCCGGTGGACGTCGCCGCCGCCGTAGTAGGGGCACGTCGCCAACGCCGCCCTCCGCGGCCGCCGCTGGAGTCGTCGCCGCCGCCGCAGGAGTCAACCGCTGCCGCAGGAGCACGTCGCCCCTGCCGCCGTGGGGACACGTCACCAACGCCGCCCCCCGCGCCCGTCGCGGCCGCTGCTGGAGTCGTCGCCGCCGTTGCAGGTGCTTGTTGCCCCTGCCGCCGACTCCTGTGATTTCATCGCTGTCGTAGAGGTAGACGGTTGTGATTTAATTGTGCCGATTTTTGTTTGACCAGATTTGAGTACTGAGAATGAATTGTGAAATTTTCTTTATAGGCAAACTCTTTATGAGTGAAGATATGGCTGACAATTTCAGGACCCTTGAGGAGGAAGAGGAGTATCGTACGATTACTGCTATGAGATTCAAGACTGAGGATGACGGCTTCAAGTTATAGGCTATTACATTTTGCAATCATGTCTCAAAGTTGTTTTGTCATTCCTACAATTTCAGGAAAGTAGAAGAAGATGTGTGAGATGGATAAGAAGTAGAAGCAGCCCTTTGCTATGCACTTTACATAGTTTTGTCATTCTCTTGGTCGTAATGAATACATTGGACTGTAATGAATCTTTGATGTGCTTTCCTGTAGTATGATGGATGTACTGCTATTTTGAGTTGTGCTCGCATGGTTGAATTTTGATGTGTTTAACTGTATGTGAACATGGTGTATGCGAATCTGAAAATTATGTGTTTTGGTGCTGGTGCGTTCTGGAAATGAAGATATGTTTGATGTATTGCAATTTGGTGCGCTGAATTGTTTACTGTATGTGAGTATGAAGTTGTGCTAGCAAATTTGGTAACATTGAGCCAATATTGCTTGATATGCTTGAGACTGACAGCCGGATGGTTCTAATTTATTTGAGATTTCAGAAAAAAAAAATTGCATTCATAACAATACAGTTCGTACATATACTCCAAGATCTTGTACATAAGAATTGCAATAACAAGTAGGGAACCCATGAACCAACTTTTAACATGGTCTGCCTCTTTGTTTAGCTTTGTAATTTTTTTCTTATATGTTGCTTTACAAGCCAAAATCTTGGCGGCCATTTCAAATTCAAGTTTCATTTTGTCTTCCTCAACTTTCGCTCTATCTGGACCATTCGTACTGCCGCCTGGTTGGATTTGTTGTGCTAGCATGGTCCAGCGCAAGCCAAAGCTTCTCGAATGCCGCGCAGGGGCCGCCGTCGTCGCCGCCGTGCAGGGGCCGCCGTCGCCGCCGCCACCGCCGCCGCGCAGGGGCCACCGTCGCCGTCGTGCCTTCAGCGTGGCCGTCGCCGCCGTGCCTTCAGCGTGGCCGCCGCCGCCGCGCCGTCCAGATCGGGTGAAAGGGTAGGGTTTTGCTAGTCAGGAAGGATATGCTAGTCTGGAAGGATATGCCGCACTTCCCCAAACCATCCACCGATCCAAACTTCATTCCAAACGCGAAACTACGATTCTACCCTTCCACCCTTGCTCAATCGCGCAGGCCACACCACGACCAAGTCGGTACCCCGAGGTACCAACTAATCCTGACCATTCGATCTGTCATCATCAACGGTTGGGATTTCAGTACCTCGCGGTACTAGTACCTTGCGGTACAAAAAGAAGGACCAGAGCAATTCTCTTATCTGAAAGTACAAACAATCATATTTCACATACAAATCTTGCTTTTATATTTCAAGTTCTTATATATTGGAGCAAGGTAGGCGGCTGTGGAAAAGACTACGTAGTCGTTAGCAATGTCTCAGTCTTGTCCCTTTTTGCATTGAACAGATTTATTTTTTTCAATGATATATTAAATAATTCGAGCGATTGAAAATCTGAATGGTTATCAAAACTGATGTATTAATTGATAATACACTACCCCTGTGTTTCATATTATAAGTCAGTTTTGAATTTTTTAAGTCAAACTTCTTTTAAGTTTAACTAGATTTATAGAAAAAAAAATTAAACTAGATTTATAGAAAATTTTTTAGCGATTTCTATAACACCAAACTTGTTGTAGTACTCGGCACATGGAAGACTCACTAGTCCAAGTCATTGCTCTAACCATATCAGGCCGGAGTACTAACTAGTCAACATCCTTCACAGCTGGCCATTTATTATAGAGTAATTTACACTAGCGGTCTTTAAACTTATAACGAGGTTTCACTTAAGTTCATAAACTTGTAAAACGTGTATCAAGATCCTTAAACTTGGTTTAATGTATCATTCCGGTCCAAAGTCTCGTTTTACCGTGGTTTTGGCTACGTGGACGATAATATAGCTAAATTTTCTTTTTCTCTTTTTTTTTTCTCCCCATCTTTTCTCTCCTTCCTCACCTGGCGTGGCGTCGCTCACCTTGCTCTCGCAGTCGCTCTCCCACCACTCCGCGCTGCTCCTCCTCCGCCCCCTCGCCTCCGCGCTCATGTCCATCGCCGGGAATCTCCACACCGTGTCGCTGTTGTCGTCCTCGGCTGCCGAGCTGTCCTAGCTCGCCGCCGACGCGCGGCTGCTCGTATCGCCCCGGAACGGTGGGGGTGAAGGGGTTGTGGCGGGGGCGGATGTGCTGATCCCGCGACTCTGCCTTGGTCGGCGGATTCCCGCGCCACGGCGCTGGACGCGCTCGTTGACTCCGTCGGGTCGCCGCTGTCGGCGGCGGCGGTGTCCGCCGTGGCCGTGATGCTCGACTCGGGCGAGATCCTACCGGTGTTTTTAATCTCTCTCTCTCTCATGCGGGGGTGTGTGCGAGCTCGGATTTTGGGCATGTTATCTGCCAGAGCAGAGATGGATGCGTGCAGCTATGGATTTGGGATGATATCGATTTCAGATTGTTTTTTTTTTCTGTGCGTCGTGATTTGTGAGTGAATTCGTAGTTTCTCGTGATGCAGATTACCTCGGAGGAGGAGGAGGCCCGTCGGCAGCGATGCAGTGGCAGTTTCCGGCGTCCAAGGTAAGCGTTCATGTCCTTCAGGTCATCGTCGTCGTTGGCGGCGGCGAGGGAGGAGGATTCCAAGGAGGCGGCGGTGTTCGACCGCTTCTCCCTCTTCGGGTTCCGCCCACCGCCGCGCCTGTCTCGCCCGGTGACGCCTTCGACGGCGCCGCCGCCGCCTCCACCATGAAGCAGGTTCGCCTCGCTTCCGACCTCCCCGTCCCTGCCATCGTGTTCTTCCCGTCGAGATGCTAGATGCTAATGGTCTGAGATGTCTGCAGCGGCAGTTTGGATTCGACGGCCGGCAGCAGTACGCAGCCGCCGAGCAGCACGGCCACCGTGAGCAGGGCGTGGACTCCTACGGCGTCGCGGCGCCGCACCATTTCCCATCGCCGTCGCCGCGCCACGCCGTGCAGTTCAGCCAGGCGAACCCGAGCACCCTCCGCGGCAGCGTCGACGAGCGGTTCCCAGTGTTCGTGCTGCTCGCCGTCTCGGCGGTGCCGGAAGCAGATGGTGGCCGTCGGCGCGTGCGGCTTCCTGCAGGGTCTCCTCGCCGTGGAGGTCGACGGCGCCAAGAAGCTCACCGATTGCCTCGTCAGACCGGGATGATACGTGCCATCATCCAGTGCATGCCACGTAAGCAAAACCACGGTAAAACGAGACTTTAGACCGGGATGATGTATTAAACCAAGTTTAAGGATCTCGATGTGCGTTTTGCAAGTTCATGGACCTAAATGAAACCTCGTTACAAGTTTAAGGACCGCTAGTGTAATTTACTCTTTATTATATTTTTCTTACAAGGTGTATATATAAATATTATAATGTGTGAAGTGAGTATAGCTAAATTGGTTAGGTTTCTTGTGGTGGAACCAACTCACCTGAAATCAAGTTCTAGACTTAGCACAGTTGCTCGTATTTACGGCTATTTTCTTTTAGTGTAGGTATGTGTGTATTCATAGGGATGAGTGTGCGCGCGTTTGTGAACGCCCGCTTTTGTACCGTGTTTCTCGAAAAAGGAGAAACATTATAGTGTAATTATTGAAATTTACAGCATAATTATATTATAAGTTTAAAAATTTATAGATAGCTATATTATAAACATAGTTTAATTTATAATGTGAAGACATTTTCACTAGTTTTTATTAGAATACATGGAATATGGTGTCTTAAATATAGCTAGCCCCTTTACATAATATGCAAGGGATAACTGCACATGGTGGACTGAAGTTGAAAAAGAATTTTCTCCTAAATGTAAAGTAACTTTTTATCATGAACTGATTCCTAACAAACTAGTAAATTCAAGCAAGTTTTGCAGCGCAATTTCAATCAAAGTTCTTATTCACTAAATGGAAGTTGGGTGACTATGCTAGTCTACGTGGTCGTACGCACCTTGATGTCTCAATCTTGACCTTTTTGTATCGAACATTTTAAAGGGAAAATAAAAGAATTGGAGAGATTAAAAATTCACAATTGATACCAGCATAGCATCCCTCGCCGGCGGCGAACCCGTCGCCGGCCATCCATGGCAGGCACTCGCACCGGTGGCCCCAGTTGCCGCTCGGGGTCTGCATAGGGATGCACGTGGCGTTCGCCGCGCACCGCCCGAGGTCGTCGACGCCGCCGCCGCAGCTCCCGTTGACCCACCACCCCATCTCCGCCGCCGCGAACTCCAGCGAGAACACCCCTTCCCGTGTATCGCCATACACGGATGTGAGCAGGTTCTCGCACCTAGGCTCCTCCACCTTCTCCCACTGCGCGAACAGGCCGCCCAAACCCCTCTCCGCCGGCGTCGCCGGCGAGAGCGAGGCGATGCACGTCAGGGAGGAGGACGCGGTTTCGTTGCCTCCTCCACCGCTGCACCTCGTCGTGCGAAGCATGGTTTCGACGGGGACGCTGCAGTCGCTGCTCGTCGCGTTCCGGCAGCCGCGGAGGAACAGGCCGGTGCGCGACGACACGCCGTAGTTGGCGCCGGAGAGCCACCGCCTGGCGTCGGAGACGGTGCGGTTGCACGACGGCGGGACGGAGACGGTGAAGGTGGAGGCGGTCGAGTTGAACGAGCCGTCGACGACGGTGTACGATCGATCCGTCGTCGTAGCGTCGTTGCCTTGGAGGATCAGCGCCGCGGTGGAGTTGCTGCCGCCGTCGACGTTGCAGGACAGCATGATGGGGCAGCTGCCGGAGAAGCCGAAAGGGTAGGGGACGACCAAGCCGCCGCACCGGCGGCTACACCCATCGGCGGCGACGGCGGAGGTTTCACGAGCTAGCAGCAAAAAGAGGAAGGAGAAGAAGAGTAGCTGCATCATGCCATCATCTCTAGCTAGCTTGGCGTATTGTATATTTGTATACTCTCTGTTACACCTATAGACCTACTTTCAGAACTCTGTCAAGTCACTGCCTCGCTGCTACTGAGTAATCACTGAGCTGATCAGCTAGATAATAACATCCTTCAGATACCTACATATATTATCCCCCTCCATCTCTGAACCTTATTTTGTTGTTACTCTTCTCAACCGGTCAATCCTCTTGCATAGTCGCATATATGTGGACAAAACTAGACCTCCAGCATAAAGCATTTTTTACACGTTCATGATTGTTCTCCAAATAATTTATAAAAACCTGAGAAGATAGTTTATAGTGATATAAATCTCTTCAAAACAAATGCAAATCTAAATTCGAACTATACATAGAGAAAAGGGGTAATTGCATGCTTATTTGATCATGTTCTAAAATTTAACTACTAATGTGATCATTTTTTTCAGGTTTACTCATTTAACCCTGTTTTTTAAAATTGAAGATAAAGGTTGACTTTATTCCGTCTAGGTAAGATAACGATGTTAACTGAGTAATGATTTGTTTTTTCTGTCCTTGCTTATTTCACCCTATTGTATGAAAACATTTTGTTTGTTTGGACCTTTAAAATATTTGTAAAGAATTTGATATAGATTTTATAGATTTGGCTTCATTTTCATAATTTAATTAGCTTCATTTTGACAAATTTGACTTAATTTTTAAAGAATTGACATAGCGTTTGTCCTATTTTGTCCATCCCAAATTACATACAATGAAACAAAAACACGGTAGCGGTCAAAGAGATGATATCAATGATGGGTCAGGATGCGACCCAGCGCCGCCGTGATGCAGTCAAGCGCAGCAACAGCCGCCGATGCCGCTCCCTTCCTCTGCTCCGAGCGCAGCAGCAGCCGTCGCTCCCTCCATCCGCTCTGAGCACGATAGCAGCTGACGCCGCTCCCTTCCTCCTCTCCGAACGCAGCAACCGCCGTCGCCGCTCCGTCCCTATGCGCGCCGATGCCACCACTCCCTTCCTCCACACACCGTCGTCGCCACCACCTCTCCCTCCCTCGGCACACGGCCACTGCCACCACTCCCTCGACCCTGGCTAACCTCCGCCGCCAGCGATGGGAGTCGGGAATGTATGAGGTGGGCCGTGGGGGTTGGGACGGGGATAGGGTTGACTAGTAATGGAGTATTTTAGTCACATCAGGGTAGTGATTTTTTTTTACTTTTTCTAAATGATGTCTTAGGGTCAGACGATCTAATGGAGGATCTAATAGTGGAGTGAAAACAGGGTCAGACGAAAACTTCGATTTTAAAATATAGGGTCAAATAAACAAACTAAAAATGAAAATAAAATTGATAGTTATGCTTCATCAAATAAGCAATTGTACATAGAGAAAATTATCGGGCACAGGAATCCCTAACAAAGTCCAAAATTTTATCAACAAAAATCGGCCGTATCAGATCGGCTAATTGCGTAGCCCATCGGATACGGGTAGATTGAAGTCATCGAACGGGTGACGCAACCACCGAATAGGTCGGTTTGACGCAATCTCATGGACGAGTAGACGACCACGGGCTCTCGTTTGGGTGCACCAAATGATATATGGCTCCTGCCTGCTTGACTCGTATTCTGTCTTGCGCCCCTGCCGCGTCTGCTTGGTCCAATTTCCTCTCCGTCACGGATGAGATTTTCATTTTGTACAATTATATTAGGCCCTGTTTAGATCCTCCAAAATGGTAAAAGTTTTACCATTTTGTAGCACTTTTTGTCATTTTGGATCTAAACACTAGTAGCAAAAGTTGACAATTTGGCATTTGGCATTTGCTACGCCATAGTAGCAAATTGTGCCAAAAAGTGCTTTGGGACCACTCCATCTCTCTTTCTCTCTCACACTTTAGTGTTAGAATGACAAAAATTTAACATGCATCTAAACACCAACTAGTACTTTTGCAATGTCAAAACTTTTGCCACCAAAACTTTTACCATTTGCCATTTGCCATTCCAAATGGATCTAAACAGTCCCTTACCGACGATGATATGTGATAATGTGATATACTTTTTCCGTACTTAAATATTTGACGCCGTTAACTTTTTCAAACATGTTTGACCGTTTGTCTTATTCAAAAAATTTAAATAATTATTAATTTTTTTCATATCATTTGATTCATTGTTAAATATACTTTTATGTATGCATATAGTTTTATATATTTCATAAAAGTTTTTGAATAAGACGAACGGTCAAGCATGCTTAAAAAAGTCAACGACATCAAATATTTAGGGACTGAGAGAGTAATAATAAAATAAGATCACTTAAATACAAACTACAGGCAGTCAGGCACTGGTCAGTCAATCGTCTTTTTCTTCTTTTTTTTTTTTTGACATTTTTGAGAAACTATGCGCGGGCATGTGTCGTACACTAAGTTTGAGACACTAAAAGCGATATATTAACCAGAGAACATCTACCCCGATTTCTCCGTAATTTTTTTTAACATTAGTTGGTTTTATAATTTTTAACCTATTAGCTTTATATTATATCATATTTAAGTAATATCTATAAGCAATTATTTCTAATCTTCTTCGTCATTTGAAAAAAAGGTAGACTTATTTTCTTTAGAAAATATTTCAACGAAAGTAAAAGTAAGTGTAAAGCAAAAGTAGTGTGTTTTTCATTCTTTTATTGCATATATATTATCATGGTTTATTAGAGGATGAATTTGGTGGCACATGAAACTCCACTAAATTTTATATAGCATAATATGATTGATATAGTTTGAGAGACAATCCATCTATAAACATTTCATGTAGAGTGGGTAAGAGGTTCTACGCAACCTAACGTGAATATAATTGCACAATAATATTTTTGAAATGTGATGTACCATGAATAAACGATTGTTTTTCTTATATAAGATAGATCTAACGATTAAAAATAATGGTTTCACTGGTTTAAATGGTTGTTTTAATATCCAACATTATTTTGAATTGAACATAGTTCAACTGGTTAGGTTCCTTGTGGTGGAAATTTCCTACTCATATTCAAGTCCCGGACTTGACAAATTCTTTCAGACGACGTATCCATCGACAGCGAGGCATTTATGGTGACTTTGTCGATCTCAAAATATATCGGCCCAATCTCTCAGAGGTACTCATAGGGGTAGAGTGTGCGTGTGTGTGTTCGTAGGGGTAAGTGTACGTGCGTTGTGAGCGCCCACATTTGTACTTTGTTTCTCAAGAAAATATCCAACATTATTGATAACTTTATTAGGGACGGGTTGACGGTGCGTAGTATGTACATGCCCAGGATATTTTTTTTGTTCTCAATCCGGTGGATAGTAGTACGTATTGTACATGTGAGAACTTTTTTATAGTTTTTTGGGTTTTTTAGGTGAACAGTACGTATATACATTTCTCTCGTACCAATTAGGTGGGACTGTGGCAGGGTTAATCCTTCTTCTTACAATGGTAATTACGTTTTTTTCTTTTTTTTGCCGTGAGTAGTATAGTACGGAAGTACGCATATATATTATTATTTGAGATGTATTTTAAATAAATCTAATGGTTTAAAAATAGTGGGTCCGCCGAATTAAATAAAAATCGAGGGCTGTATGTTTTTCTTTTTTCTCAAAATTTGTAAGGTTTTATCTAATTTATTAGAATGCCACGTGGCGGCTTGAGAGTTTTTTTTAGGAAGTTTAATGGATTTTTCATATATAATAGATAGATACACAGGACAATACACATGCAGCTTTTGCTTGCTTGTTCTAAAACTGAACATATTATCATGTTATATAGAAATAAAATTTAGCTTTATCTTTACTTCCATATAATTTCTATGGCCTTATCAAGTAGAATTTGGTACATAATAGGTCATTTCTATCTTAAGCTCTGAATGATATATAGGTGGACAAACAGCTAGGATATGACTCATTATTTTTTAAGTAAATCTTATTTAGTTATGCATGTTTTGTGATGCATCAAATTATGGTATAATCTATATTTTGTTTTTCTCATAATTCAGAATTTTTAGAACTTTTTGAAGTTCATAAATCTGTTTTAGTTATGCATGCTGGTGAAGTGATATATGATGAAATAGTATATAATGTCACTTTCTTTTAATAATTGTTCATATATGTTTGAATAACATGTAAAGGTTCTCAACAAAACTTAAATGAATATAATTTTACAATTTAAAATATAGTCAACATGTGTCATAAATTCTAATTGTGATTTTAATCATAAATAACCCAATGGTACAAATAGATAAAAAAATTGAACTTATAATTTAAAAGTTAAAAAGTTAGTATAATTTAAAATTTACTGTTGCAAATATTATGTATTTAGAAGTATGCTTATTTAAAATTTATTGTTGCAAAAGCTTTCATAAAGAGAGAATGTGAGGGAAAAAAATAGAGGATTTCCTAAAAGAAAACAGAGAGGAGGATGTACGTTTTTTTTTTAAGGATGAGAAAACATAAATCTGATTTAATGGCTTGAAGTGTTATGTCCACTAATTTTAATAAAAATTAAAGGGTAGATGTTTATTTTTCAGGATATATGATTTAGATGTTACAAATGTTGAAATTTTTCAATCGAATTTCCGCCGTTAGCTAATATAGGAAAAAAGAATTATACGTAGAGGGGAGGGAGAGAGAGGGGTGTACGGGGGGAGAGGGCAAATGCAACGACTGAGGGGAGAGGTGGGGAAGGTACGTGGTCTTTCTTTCCATCTCTCTGTTTGTATGAGATTAAATCTGACGGTTAAAATAATAATGGGCCCATCAATTTAAGTGAAAGTGGATAGTTAGATGTTCTTTTCTCCGGATTTATAGTATTTTTTTTTAAATTTATTAGAGTGCCACGTGGCGGCTTAGGAGCGTTTGTAGATGCCACACGACGGTTTATGGCCTTTTAAGATAAATCGGATTGGTTATTTTTATTATAGATCCAATGGTAAAAAATAATGGGTTCACCAGATTAAATGAATACTAACGGTTAGATTTATTTTAGAATTCTAAATTTATTAGAGCGCCACGTGGCGGCATTGGAGTGTTTGTAGAGTGCCACATGGTGGTATGAGAGCGTTTCTAGAAAGTCTAATGGACTTTTAGTATATAATAGAAGATAGATAGATTAATAATTATTATTTATTAATTTGAGTTTTATGTGATGCGAGTCAAAAAGAAAAAAAAAAGAAAAGGAGGGACGTGGGGCCCAACGTACTAAATAATATATATAATATATGAAAAAAATAATATATTATTGGCATGTACATATATTTTTGCATATATATAGGCTGGATTTAATATCTATGGGCTGAAATAATTAATTCGGTTTTTATTCTTATGATCGAAAAAAGAAAAAAGGAGAAAAGATGAACGTGGGGCCGTGCATGACGTACGTACGTACGTACATGCACCTATCCACCTATGGGGGTTACGTGGGCCTTTTTAAGATAAATCGGATTGGTTATTTTTATTATAGATCCAATGGTAAAAAATAATGGGTTCACCAGATTTATTTTAGAATTCTAAATTTATTAGAGCGCCACGTGGCGGCATAGGAGTGTTTGTAGGGTGCTACATGGCGGTATGAGAGCGTTTCTAGAAAATCGATAGATAGATAGATAGATAGATAGATAGATAGATAGATAGATAGATAATAGATAGATAGATAGATAGATAGATTAGAAGTCTCCCACTGTCATCACGTTTCCATCCATCTCCGTTACCGTCCTCATCCCGACCACCGCGGTGGACTTCCTAGCGAGGGCGGCGTCGATGGCGAACTGGGTGAGGGTGGCGTCGACGGCGAGCTGGGAGAGGAGGCCCTGCCGGCGCCACCTTGCTGCTGAACGACGAGAACACGACGAAGAGCTCGACAGGGATGACCAGATCTTGATGCGACGGAAGCAGCCCGGCGACGCGCCGGCGTCGGCGGCAGCGTCGGAGGCCGACCTCGCCCAGCTCTCCATCGCCATCGCCGCTGGGGAGGACCTGGGCCCGTTCGTGCGGCGCACGTTCGCGTGCGGGCGCCCCGAGCCGCTGCTCGCCTCGCTCTGGACCGCTCCCTCCTCGCGCGACGCCGACGCGCTCAAGGACTCCTTCTCGGCCTCCCACGCGACGGCGACGAGCGAGGAGAGGAAGATCAGCAGCAGATGGAGAGGTTCTATGCGCTTGTGGCCAATGTCCAGGCGCTGAGAGCCATGTTCAAGGAGGCAGCGGTGCCCAGCTGCCGCGACGTCGACGTTTGCGGCGGCGGTGGCAGGGAGCAGTGCCAGAAGAGGCCGAGGGCGGCGCCGTGGCGGCCGGCGTTCGAGAGGAGGACAAAGGCGAAGTTACCGAGGGGAAACAAGTCGCCATCGCCATCGTCGCAGACGGGCCTGGGAAGTCGACGACGATGCCTCCCACGCTGCGCTCCTCTCCTCCTCCGCGCCGCTGCTCGCCTCGCTCAAGTCCTTCCTCGCAGCGCGTGGGCTCGCCGGAAACCTCTCCTCCGCGCTCGTGTTCGTCGCGGGAGGCGGACGGGCTGGAGGAGGCGACCGCGCCGAGGCCGAGCGCTTCCTCCGCGCCGTCGCACCCAGGCCGCCGTTGTCTGTGCCCGCTGCCATCGCACCCAGGCTGCCACCCACCGAGTCCGCGCCGAGGTTGCCGCCGTCGCGCCCAGGCCGCCGCCCGCGGAGCCCTCCGCCGTCGCGCCCAGGCCACCGCCCGCGGAGGCCGCCGCCGTCGCGCCCAGGCCGCCACCCCCGGAGCCCTCCGCCGCCGTCGTGCCCAGGGCGCTGCCCGCTGAGTCCGCGCCGAAGCCGCCGCCCGCCGTCGGCCACAGCGCTGCGTAGCGCCGGCCGCCGGTAGTCATCGGGGGAGAAATCGATAGCTAAGGGAAGAAGACGGGAGGAAGAAACAGAAGAAAACGGAGATGGATGGAAACGTGATGACAGTGGCACACTTCTAATTTTACATAAATTTCAATGGCACGGTTCGAAATAGATGAATTGTAATGATATTTTTCTGAATATACACATTTACAATGGTATGGATCAAATTAACTCAAACTTTTACTATTGGTATCAGACGTTATTTTTAGATCTAGTAGTAGTTTTTAGATTTTTAGTACATATGGGGTTTGCACTATATATTTTTCTTCGTTGATTAGTGCACATAAGATTCAAGTATCGTGCAAGGGAGACCACGTCACTGTCAACTTATCGACAGAAGCTTCCATGCATCTGGCATTGGCGACTTCTTTCCTGGACGTACCCCAGCCGGCCATGGCCGTAGTCAATCCGGCATCAATGATAGACTACCAGGAGTCTCCTGTGGTAGCATATAATGTTCTATAATTTCTAGTACTATGGAGGAGATTTGAAGTACTTTACAAGTCAATGGTCGTCGCAGGATATGATATGGACATGATGCAGTAGTTGAGAAATTGGCTGGAAGTTTTTCAACATATACATCCATCAGAATACGTTGCAGCTAATTACACTGGGTTAACTGTTGTGCCACCAGTGGCAAAAGAAAGTTACATCGATCATTTGTATGCATCTAAAAAGGAAGCGAAAAGAAAATGGATTTTGGTTTGTTATGTTCAGATCATCGTAGATCCAAATAGAATTCAAATCGAGCATTGACACGATCTATTTGGTGCCAACAACACAATAAAGGCTGAGAAAATATTGAGCACAAATTTTGGACACTGTTGCTCACTTGCTCTGCTGAAGTGCTGATTGATATCACCATGGGATTTCTTGTCCATCCCAAGCGAAGAACTTGCCGTTGTCGCTCTTCTTGACATTGTCGATGATGGACAGTAGCTTCTGAACAGAGAACTCCCTTGTGAAGAGCTTATCCTTGGGAACATTCTTCTGAAAAGGGCGTGAGAGGTCAGTGTCCACGGTTCCTGGATGCAGCAGGATGCAGGCAATGTTGTCCTTTTTCCCCAGCTCAACTGATACAGTCTTTGTCACTGCACAAAATTAGCAAAACATTTTGTAAATCTGATGGAAACAAATTATCTGTAAAATTAAGATTAGTGCCAAAAGCAGGCTAGTGCAGACAAGATGGAACATGTTAGTATTTGCATACATTGATTCAGTGCTGTTTTAGAAGCCCTATATGAATGCCAGCCTCCTAGGCCATTGTCACCTATTGAACCGACTCTGGCACTCATGTTTGCAACCAATGAAAATCCTCTCCCGGTCTCAGAGCAACCTCCAGCCTTCAGGAATGGCCACATATGCTGATAGAACAAATCAATTTAGAGTAAGCATGTCTATATAACAGATGATATCCGACCACATCACGACAAGAATATGAAAACGGAAGTGAAACAGTGAGTTATTATTTATACCTTGATCACTAAAATAGGGCCAACAGCGTTCACTTCATATGCCAGTAGCAGGGATGACTTCTGAACTTTGCTAAATGTAGTCTCTGTAACACAACATGAAAATATCCCAAATTCAGCAAGCAACAACCAACCAACCAATCAAATGCAACCTGAAAAGCTATGCTCAAATTTCAACTATAAACCTGGATGTATCACATTCGGAATTGAAAGGATCCCAGTTGCATTGATCAGCAGGTTCAGAGATCCATGGGTCTCTCCTATCGAGGCCGCAGCTGCCTGTCACCGGAAGACTCAAAATTTTACATAAGGCCATTCACACTGCGCCGCGGAATCAGCAGGGGCTTTCTACCTCCACGTAAGCAAACCACGCTCAAAGCTACTCGGCTCACAATGCATGGCAGATTGGCAGCATGGGTATCTAAAGTGGGCCCACCAAGTAATGCTTTTCCCTACTTTTCTGGCTTGGGAGCTCCTCTCTCTCTCTCTCTCGCTTTTCTGCTTCCTATCTCGCTTTTTGAGCCGAAGAACGTGTGACCAAAGTTGGTCACGCGGACTAATTTAGTGGGCCCAGGAGTAAACGTGGCACTGGATTGAAGAATCTCGCAGATGTGGCAGCGTTGGGCTGAATGACAGATCATCCCACTGTGAATGGCCTAAGAACTCTCAAGTCTCAATTCAGCATGCCTTCACTAGCATCATAATCTAGTAGTTCCTACCAAGAAACAAGCTGTGCAGACTAGAAAAAACAAAACCTCATATCATCCTTCTGAATCTGAATATCAAGTAACTCTGCTCACAACACAACATTGTCTATCCGGGTACGACTAGCAATCCAAGCAAAGAATAATCTAATCTACTACTACTACCTCTATATTTTAATGTACGACGCCGTTATTAATGTATGACGCCGTTAACTTTTTGTCTAACGTTTGACTATTCGTTTTATTCAAAAAATTTATGTAATTATTATTTATTTTACTATGGCTTGATTCGTTATCAAATGTTCTTTAAGCATGACATAAATATTTTTATATTTACACAAAAATTTTGAATAAAACAAATGGTCAAACGTTGGTCGGAAAGTCAACAGCGTTATACATTACAATACGGAGGGAGTACTACCTATCAATCTCTGCATATAGTGCACAGTATATCTATACCTCTATGGTGCTCTCGTCGGTGACGTCGAGCGGGAGCACGGCGAGGCGCTGCTCGTGCTCCTGCCTCAGCTTCTGAAGCTCCACGGCTGAATCCGGCGCGCGACACGTCGCGACGACGCGGCCCTCGTCGCTCCTCTTCAGCAGCTGCCTCACCTGCATCGCATGCGCACGAGAGATTCAGAGCTCGTAGAAGAAATCGCCGGCAACGCGCATGATCAGAGCAGCTACACACTGCACACCAGCACGAACTCGGTGAGCCGTATGAGTGGCTGACAGGTGGGCCCGATGGATTCTTTCGGCGAATGAGGGGGCCAAGCGCGAAATGAATATGGAAAGTATTCCCTCCGTTTTAGGTAAAGAGGTTTTGACTCTAGTTAAAGTAAAATTGTTTATAGTTTGATTAGATTTATAGAAAAAATAGTAATATCTACTATTTTCTCAGTTTCATATTATAAGACTTTCTAGTATTGCCTATATTTTCTTAGACAGGTAGATTCATTAACATTTATATGAATATAGACAATGCTAAAAATTCTTATAATATGAAACTGAGAGAGTATATTTATCTATAAACTTAGTTAAATTTAAAACAATTTGTCTTTTACCAAAATCCAAACATGTTATAACCTGAAATGGAGTAAGTAGTAAATATGGAGAAGCGAAGGAATTGATGTGAAAAAAAGGTGAAAATGAGATGGGAGATGGGAGAGGAGGAGGAGGAAGGAGACGATGAGTGCTCACGAACTCGAGCCCGATGCCGCGGGACGCGCCCTGCACCATGGACACGCCGCCGCCGGATGTCGCCGTCAACGAGAACGCCCTCGCCGCCGCCGCCGCAGCCGCCAGCGTCCTCGCCGTCGCCATTGCTCCTCCTCTCGCCTCGATTCGATTCTCTTCCTCCGGGTGCTCGCGGCGGTTCGGTGGCGAGGCGAGGCGCACAGGGGCAGTAATGGCGGGTCGTTGTTGTGGGGGAAATTTTGGGGGAGAATTGCGTGGCTAGATGAAGGCACACGTATGCCGCGCGCTGGCCGGGAACGGCCTCTTTAATTCCTCTCTCGTTTTTTCTCTCTCTTTTCGTTTACGTACTTTTCCCCTTCTTCTTTGCAAAGGCGCTGTTTAGTTATCACCTAAAATTTTTTACCATGTCACATCAAACGTTTGAACACCGAATGAAGTATTAAATATAGACTAAAAAATAACTAATTGTACAAATTATGACTAATTTATAAGAGGAATCTTTTAAGCCTAATTGACAATGTAGTGCTACATTAAACATTTGCTAATGATAGATTAATTAGACTTAATAAATTCTTCTTGAGGTTTATTGGCGGATTATATAATTAATTTTTTTATTAGTGCCCAAACACCTCGTGCAACACCCTATATAATATCGATGTGACACGCCAAAACTTTATATCCCTATATCTAACCACCCCCAAAGTTCCAAAGTTCTCTACTCCATTTTCCTAACTTTTGCCTCCCGTTTTCCGCGCACATGTTTTCCAAACTGCTACACGGTATATTTGTAAAAAATATCTATAGAAAAATTACTTTAAAATATCATATTAATTTATTTTTAAGTTTTTTTACAACTGATATTTAATTAATCACCTGTTAATGAGCCACTCTATTTTATTTTCTGTGCCATATAGAAATGTTGAAAACACGAGGTTTGAAATCAGCCTAAATCTGTCATATGCATACAAAGTCCTCTAGTTCAATTGAGATTTTGTGCCGAGCTTCATGGTAAAATTTGATCAGATGCACTCCTTTTAGATAGAAATTAAGCATTTATAGCCTTCTGACCTTATATGTCATTGGCACTAGAGGATAAATCCTCAATTTTGAATCCTAGGCGCCGAATCAGCTTGGAAAGTGAAGGTATATTGTCAAAGCAAACACCGGCTTTTTCATGAACTCCATGGCAAAGTAAAATTTGCTCCAAGTTTCTAATCTCCGAGTTTGAACAGGTGAATAGCCCAACTCCTACATGAATCTCAATTCGCAAACAAGCATCCATGCTTCCTGCAAAAATTCAGCAAAATTTACAAGGGGACAGGCCTTTGGGCGCAAAATTATGCGTCCATTCCATATGGACCTATTCTTCACTCTGCCCAATCCTTTGCAGGCTGTCCAAATTGGCACATTGATTTCCAGCTGCCAAAAACAATCTGGACCAAACTGAATTACATGTAGTAACTTCAAAGCTACATATAATACTTACTTGAATATTTCTTCTTTAAGAATGGAACAGATATATATACATGGGAATTTCAGGTGACTGACAGCTAGTACAGCTTTAAAATTTTGCAGATGCGCATGATGTCTCTTATAAAACTCAAATGTGTTTTGTTCTAGACAAAAGGGAAACATACAGCTAATGGCTCCAATGTTTGTAGTATTATGTACTCCATTTAAGATGATAATGTTGCTGCTTTCGAGATTATATTATTGATTGTTAAGATTCAAACACACGTTCAAACCTGAACTCATCATGATATCAAACTGACAATGAAGCATTCTATCTTTGTAGTTTATTCGTTTCAAATTATAAGTCATTTTAACTTCAGTCAAAGTCAAATTTGCTTCAAGTTTAACTAAGTTTGTAGAAAAAACAGTAACATTTTCAATGCAAGACAAATATGTTATGAAAATATATTTAATTATAGATTTAACAAAACTAATTTAATATTATAAATATTATTATATTTATCTATTAATTTAGCTAAACTTGAAATAGTTTGTCTTTGATAAAAATCAAAACTACTTATAATTTGAAATTGAAGAAGTATTTTTTTTAGAAGAGCATAAAATCCAAGATAATCAAAAGCTAGATTTTGTGCATATATTATGAGATGTGGACTGTTGAGCTAAAATTGGGTTGGAACTAACGGGTGTGCTGTATTTGGTGGCCTGTCTGCTCTGAACTGCCGTTATATCTGTTCAGTTCAGCTGTTCTGTGCCTGCTTGCTGTCTGATACAAATGTTAGCTGTGTTAATTACTTCTGCTAGCTGTATCTGATTGCCTTTGCTAACTACTTGATTGCGCTCTCTTTAATTTTTTCTTTTTGCCTTTTTTTAACTTCAAATTCGCTTCTAAACCTTGCTAGCACTGCCTCCATTTTTAATTTCAGATATTATTTTTTTACTTGAATTTCAGATGTTAACGTCTAATCTGTCTCAAGACTCCAGGGCTCCTTTTTCCCCCAATAATTATTTTCTTCCCGAAATACATGTTTGGAAAGGCATTTTTAGATAATGTTAGAAAAGGTAATAAATGTATACTGATTTTAAAGTGAGTACCAAATATCATTTCCGGTCGACAAATTTCTGCTCATATCTATACTACTATAAAATACAATACGCCGTCGAAACCACTAATTTTGCAGTCTTACAAATTACTCCTTAATATTTTATAATAGTATATGCAATAGTTTAATATTTATTTAAATCAAATGAATAACACAAGCTAAAATAAGTAAATAATAATAATAATAGCATATTTCATAAAAATATATTTTATCTACGATAAAGCATTATATATTTTCTTTTACCCATAGTAAACAATGGGCAATTTGCTAGTGTAGTATATAAGTATGAGCTGTATAGACAGCAACTTGCAGCAAGCTAACAAGCACTCATCAAATTGCATGCACAAATTGCATCTTCACTTTGATCACAAGTCAACTAATTGCACAAAGTGAAGGCAACCAAATTTATTGAGCTAGCTTGTGGTACACAAGAATGCATCATTCATCAAATTAGCACCTACTAATGTACCTACATTAACTCCAGCATCATCATATCAACAACCACCTTAATTAAGCTGCATGCATGCATGATGATGATGATGATGCATGGCCAACTATACTTATTCATATCATCAAGAGCATAATTAACCAGACCAGATTAAAACCATAACAAACAACTCTATCCATAAATTCATTCATCTGTTCTTCTTTTGTGAAAAACATCATAAACCATAATAACTACACCATGTTCCATACATTTTGCATGTACATGCATCAAATCATCTTCTTCATCGCGCCGAATAATCTTTTAGATCTCGCGCAAGAACCAAATGAACATCAAAATTAAAAATGAAATCAATCAAGGCAGTTAATTTTAAGAACTAATCAAAACAATTACTAACAACATGCATGCACGCATGTACCGATCGAGTACTTAACTAACATTGATGGTGTTGATTAAGCTGATCTCTCTCCATGATCAGCAGCAGCAGCAGCAGCAGCTAGTAGGCGTAGAGCTGGGCGAGCTCTCTCATGGCGGCGTCGTCGTCGTCGCCGTCGCCGCCGGCGCGGAGGTCGACGGCGTTGTCCAGCATCCACAGTAGGTGGTCGAACAGCACGACCTCGCAGTTGACGGCGATCGGCTTGGTCGACGACGACGTCGTCGTCGCTGCCGACGTCGACCTCCTCCTCTCAACCACCCCACCGCCGCCGCCGCCTTCTTTTCCGTCTCCGGCGGCCGCCGCCGGGACGTCGTCGTCGATGAGCGCGGCGATCAGCGGGTGGCTGAGGTGCTTGTTGCTGATCACGTAGCGCCGCCGCGAGCTCCCGACGAACACCACCGCCCCGTCGCCGCCGGCCGACACCGCCTTGCTGTCGCCGCCGCCGACAATGCCGCCATCGCCGCCGGCGACGACGTGCTCCCGGGTGGACATGGATCGGAGGTTCCTGTAGGAGCTCGACCTCGAGAGAGAGCGTGACAGGCTCTTGCACTTTCGTAGCAACACATTTCTGAACCTGTTCATGTAACTCAAAAACTAAATCAAAATCAAAATCAAAATCAAAACCAAAACCAAAAACCCTCCAAATTCTCTCAAACTAATTCGACCCAAGTCACAAACACAAAACACAAACAAGGAAGAAAAATAGGATTCAAGCTTAATTACATATGCATTGGGGTATATATATCGATGAGAGGCTATAATGGCTAGCAAATTAAGCTAGCTTCAAGCTAGGTTTCAAGCTTAAGCATTGCAAATATATATAGATACAAATTACAAATGTGTGTATATATAAGTGGATGTGTGTTAGTGAGGAGGAGAAGTGGGTGGCACGTCGTTGTAGACAAGTGAGGACGCTAGCTAGCTAAAGCTATATAGCTATAGGTAGTCACACACTGATCGATCTACCTGTCCATTGAATTTTTGCAAGCTAGCTTAATTAGGGCACCAGGTTGGCCTATTTGCTTGATTGGGGCCCAGAGGCATATATGCCACATTTTTGTTTGCCAGTGACTCTTATCTTATTTCATTTGTTACATGCATGATCCACTTTGGTCTTGAGTAGTGCTCATGATTAGAGCTTTTGGAAGTACGTTTTAGGATGATGGAACATATATAACTCTGGTCTTGATCTAATGATCTTCACCTACAATAGAGATACACATAGCAAAAGTTTGGCTTTTATAAATGTGGTTTGTTGCGTACCTATACGTATTCATAGGTGTGAGTGTGTAGCGTATATATACGTGAATTTCTTGTACTGTGTTTCGTAGAGAAAAAAAAAGTCTTTCGTCAGAAATTGAGCATTGCAAGCGTAGCCCACCCCATGGTTTCCCTTACCATTTTAGTGATGGTTACCTCTACCTGACGGTATCGTGGTTACCCTAGTATCCATGTGGTTACCATAAAAGCTATAAGGTTAAAAACTAAGGTAGTTACTGAGGGGGTAACTATGATAACTGTGAGGTAACAGCGTGATATTGCAAACTCGAACCAATCTCGATCAATTGTATGCAAAGAGCATTGGCTCATGATAGCAAGTGGATTAATTGAGGGCAAAGAATTTTCTTGAAAGAGCTGTTCCAAGTTCCAACTAATTAATCTCCTCTAATGCAACCATCATAGACTTTCAACTAAATTAACAAACAACAGGGACAAGATTAGCAAGGAGAGCTTTCATGGTTTTCAGGGTCTCACTTCAGCATTATATTCGGACCTGCCTGTGCCTACCTGTTAGGCTGTTAGTACTTAATTAGTACAGGATGCAAGCTATGGACCATGTATGAAAAAGGAGGAGGAATTAATCAGAACAAAAAAAAAGATCATAAACATATATATACAAATCCTTTTTGGCACAACTCTGGATCAAAAATTTTTTGAAGCTGGGTACAAAATCAGCGGATCTAGATTACATTGATAACATTTTGATTAATCATTTTTTTCATATTTTATATATAATTTAAAATTTTAAACCATTATTATTTAACATACAAAATACAAATCTACCATGGATTTGTGATCTAAAGCTGTACCAAACAGAGACACAAAGTTTGTCTTATCTAGCCAACAGGCAGGCCTGCTTGTCAGTGCCACAAGTGGCGGTGGTTGATTGGTTGGAGTCAGCATCCAAGACAACAAATCTGAATAAGTTTTTGTCCAAATTTGTTGTCCTAGAATATGTTAGATTCTTTTTGAAACGGAGGGAGTAGTTATGTATAGGCCGACAACTGCACATGAGGACATGACCTAGCTTTTATAAGATTGCAATGTCTAAACAACCATCATCCAGTCCTGCACAAATCTTGATATAATAATTGGTGGTACAACATACACCGTTGATTCGTCCGTCCTCTCTCTGGACCATATTCAGCATTGATATGGTACTTCACATTTTAATCTTTTGCTTACATGTAATATCACGTGTTAGATTCACAATTATTTATTGATATTTAGACCATAGAGATTAATATGTTAGAAAAGACAGCAATCTAGAGTAATCGTTGCACATGTGGCATGTACACACGGTTTGAAAACGTGGAAAAGCCATAGGTTTTATGCAAAAAAAAACCCTTTAGACATGTAAGGACTATTCAATTGTTTTTTTACGAAGTATTAATTAATTAATAAGTACTGGCACAAAAGAACTCCAGGTTAAAAAATACCACCTTCGTAATATGGAAAAAAAGGGAGGGGGGGTGGGGGCACATACGAGTAGTGACATTTCTAAATCATACGGACAACTTAGACGACCACATATGAAAATCTACTTTTAAAGACAATCGCTTAAGACAACTATATCTAAAAATCAATTTCTAGATGTTCGCATAACCGTCTCTAGAATAGAAATGAGGCGTGCAATACTAACTGTGGGCCGCACAGCCCGCACTGCAGGCATAAGTGGATTTTCTTATGTACACCATCTGTACAGTAAAAAAGACATATTTCTATGTAGTTTTTTTTTATATAGTGAAGTATAAGTACTCTTGTACACTAATTTGTCAGAACCGATAAGGCCATAAGTGCGGCTGAATCATGTTCTTTTCGGATGAAGATATAGATTTTACCTCGGTTTTCGTTAGCACGTTTTTCAAACTTACATTTTCGTGCGAAAACTTGTTATATAGAAGTTGTTTTAAAATATCTAATATATCCATTCGTCAAGTTTGTAATACTTAAAACTTAACTAATCATGTGTTAATATCTTTCGCGTTTTACGTACGTCGTACGCCAATTTAATCTTTATCTTCATAAGTTTTAAACACTAGACCAAGATTAGGCTTCAAACCAAGCACCTCTGAAACTGAACAAATTAATTTGAGGCCTGTGTAGCAAGATTAGATTATACCGATATGCTTTGATCCTGTAGGTCCTTGAATTGATAGGAATTTGATCTTGTAGGATCAAGTTTGTATATATTATGCTTCTTGGTTGGTTGATCTGTACGGTACAGTTAATTTTACATAAAAGATGGTGTTGCTACACTGGTGAAGAAACCATCTTTGGTCGGTCGACCAGATTTTACAATAGTCCCGGTTGTATTAAAAACCGGGACTAAAAATATCTTTAGTCCCGGTTTAAAAGCTACATGATACTTTTCAATCTTTAGTACCGGTTGGTGTTACCAACCAGGACTAAAGATCTATTTGTAGTCCCGGTTGATAACATCAACCGGGAAAAAAGATCGCCATACGCCTAAAGATCTATTTATAGTCCCGGTTGGTAAAACCAACCGGGAGTAAAGATCGACGCGGAGATCGGAGAGGTGTGCACGATCGGATCGAGGTATCTCCTCCTCTCCTTTAACTCATCTCTCCTCCTCAACCTTATCTCCTCCTCTCATTTTTAACTCATCTCTTCAACCTTATCTCCTCTTCTCATTCTTATCTCTATTCCTCTCCTCTTCTTCTCCTCTCCTTCTCCTCTCTACTGCCAAGCCGGCGCGAGGGCGGCGGGTCGCGGAGGGCCGGCCGGCCGGCGCGGTGCACGGTGAGGCGGCGGCTTGTGGCGGCGGCCGGCGGGGCGCGGAGGGCCGGCCGGCCGGCGCGGCGGCGGGACGGGGTGGGCCGGTCGGCCGGCACGGCGGCGCGGCAGCAGCTGGCGGCGGGGCGCGGAGGGAGGGCTGGCCGGCCGGCCGGCGCGGCAGTGGTGGGCCGGCCGCGCGGCGGCGGGGCGCGGAGGGCCGGCCGGCCGGCGCGGCAGTGGTGGGCGGCCGCGCGGCGGCGGGGCGCGGAGGGCCGGCCGGCCAGCCGGCGCGGCGGCGGTGCCTCGCCGCGCGTCTTCTCCTTTTTTTTCTTTTTTTTTTGAAGAATCTGAGATTGTTGTGTGAATGTATTTGATTGGATCTGAGATTGTTGTGTGATGTATTTGATTTGTGTGTGATGTGAATATGTGATGAATTTTGTAGAAGTTGTGATGTAATTTTTTTTTTAAGATTTTGTGATGTATTTGAATATTTGAGATGATCGATTTGTGGATTTCAAGGCAATTTGAGGATGATTGATTTGGGATTTTGGGGATGGAATGGGGTGAAATCAATATATTTAAAAATAATGAAGAAAAAAAAATAATAAAGAGGAACCGGAAAGAGCAACCGGATTAGCCTCTTTAGTCCCGGTTGGTATGCTTTATCTTTAGTCCCGGTTGGTGTTACCAACCGGGACTAAAAATAGATTTTTACTCCCGATTTTTTTACCCGGGACTAAAGATAGCGATCTTTAGTCCCGGATTCGTAGTTCCGGTTTGAAAACCAGGACTATAGGGGGGTTACGAACCGGTAGTAATAACCCTTTCTTCACCAGTGCTACTAGCTTTGGATCAGAGTGTAGATATTGGATCCAACACAAAAGGTAATAAGAATTATTACATCTTGTGTCCTGCCTAATTGGTAATTAGTGTGGCACTCAACCTAAGCTTAGTTGGTAATTATGAAAACCAAGGGTACGTAGTTCAGGAGGTTTATGTTCTAAGCAACCAAAATTAGTTACACTACACTACTCATACCAATTTCCACTCGCTCGATCAAGAACATAACATTCTTTGAATTGGAAGTGTACACATCAACGACCTGTCCAGGCTAGAAACTGTAGCAAATTTTATAAGTAGGCCTACCAATCTAGCTAGCAGCTTAATTAGTTCACGCGTCATAAAATAAAGTGAGCATATAGATCACCAAGTTGTCCCCTAAGGGTCTCTTTGAGAAGCCTAAATTCCCACTTTATTTTTGTAGGGTCTCGTTTGAAAAATAAAAAGCGACAGCAAAAAACTCTAAATTGCGAAGTGAGTATAGTTCAATTGGTTAGATTTCTCATGGTGAAAACAACCCACCCAGGTGGACGGGTTTAAGTTCTAAACTTAACACGGATGCTTCTATTTACGGCTAATTTTTCTTTCAATGGTAGGCGTCGGGTACGTACTCATGACAGCAAGACGCCCGTGGTGACTTCGTTAATTTTAAGATAAGTTGGCCCAGTTTTTTTTGGAGATGCTCATATGGTTATTTTAGTGGTAGGCACGAGTATCCATCGATAGCAAGGTGTCCATGATGACTTTGTCAATCTCAAGACATGTCGACCCAATCTTTTAAAGGTGCTCGTAGGAGTGAGTGTGCGTATGTTGTGGGTGTCTACATTTGTACTGTGTGTTTTTTATAAAAAAAAGACCTCTAATTATTTCTAAAATTTAAATTTAGCTATGGCTGGTGAGAGCCTGATCATGGTTTCCTCAACCCGGGGATTTGGGCTAAAATCTTGGAAAAAGTACACCGAAGGTCCCTCAACTTGTCACCGGGATAAAAAATGTCCTCAAACCGCAAAACCAGATATGCAAGGTCCCTTAACTATACAAAACCAGTCACCCAAGGTCCTTGAGTGGTTTTGACCCCAGTTTTAGCCTACGTGGCGCGTGGGACCCACGTGGGCTCCACATGTCAGCGTGCCACGTCCATTCCCCTCTTCTTCTCTCCCTTCCTCCCCTCTCTCTCTCTCTCGCACTCTTCTCAGGCCGGCCGACGGGTAGGGAGCAGACGACCGGGCAGCGAGGGGGGTTGAGCGGCGAACGGCGGAGGCGGCGTGTGAGCGCGCGGCGGCCGGCGAAGCGGAGGCACGGAGCTGCGGTGGCTGGTGGATGGGAAGCAGCGCCGGGACTTCGTCGACAGGCGGGGATCGGCGGGGAGAAGGGGTGCCGGGACAGGCGGCGGCCGATGGGGAGGACAACTGACGAGCAGCGGCCGACGGGGAGACGGGGCGGCGTGCGTGCCGACCTGGGCTGCCAAATATTTGAAGCAATGGTACCTGCGACAGATGAGATCGGCAATCAACCATTAATTCATCGCACTGAACACTGTTGTTTCCACCGACAAAACTCGCATGGCCTGGAGATCACTGATGACAGAACCATGGCTTCCCTAGCATGAATTTCCATGTAACTTGGGACAGGATGATTGTTGTTAGCTTGCTTGTCATCGGAGTTGGCTGATGGATGCCCGGTTTCGGTCTGGCCATAGCTGTTGCGCTATCGAAATCTCCTACTCCATGCAGTGGCTGGTGTGGCACATGTGAGTGACTTCAGGAGAGGAGGACATGGACGGAGGCGATCTTGGTGGCGGCGCAGACGGGGCAAGCGTCAACGGCGGCCTCGTAGGCGCCGCACAGGCACAGGCGGCGGAACGAGAGCAGCGGCACAGACGCCTCCGTGACACGGTAGGCCTTGCACGACGTCGCCCTGGACACCGCGTCGGCGGCAGTGGCGGCGGCGGCGCCGCCTGGGGTCTCGAAGCAGCACGACTGCGCGTCCTCGGCGTCGCCTTCCCCCGCTGCGGTGGCGACGGCACAGGGGGACTAGAGGAGCTAGTCGAGCGTGGCGCGGAGGCCGGCGGCGACGGCCTCGTGGCTCTTAGCAACGCCTATCCAAGCCTGCCCCTCTGCGCTCATCTGGCGGAGCTTCTCCTCTAGCTCCGCGTTGCGGCAGCGTGCGCGATCCAGCTTGGCCTCCGCCGCACGCACCCTCCCCGTCGTGGCGCGCGCCACGGCCGCCACCAACGCCCGGACGTGCTGTCGCTGCGCTTCCTCCAGCCCCACGCGCATCCGCTCGGCTTGCACGGCATCCACCAAACACCGACGCCGATCAAACACCACTCACCAAACACAAACAGAGGAGGCCGGCGGCGTGAGCCGGTGCGTGGCCTCGTCGTAGGTGAAGAAGAGCGAGGCGTTGGCTGTCGGGATGGGAGGCCTGTTCCCGCGTCGCCGCCACCACCACGTCGCCTGTCGCCAGCCTAGAGAGAGGAAAAGTGAGAGAGAGAGGACGAAGGGAAAGAGAGAGATGGTGATGACGTGGCACGCTGACATGTGGGGACCACGTGGGTCCCACGTGCCACGTAGGCCAAAACCGGGGTCAAAACCATCGAAGGACCTCGGGTGAACGGTTTTGTATAGTTAAGGGACCCCGCATATCTGGTTTTGCGGTTCGAGGACGTTTTTTATCCCGATGACAAGTTGAGGGACTTTCGGTGTACTTTTTCCTAAAATCTTAAGCAAACACATAGACGGGCCTCAATTCCAAAGAAATCTAGATGGGCTGGGAAGCTCGAACTAAAACCTGGACCTATCAAACCAGGCCTAAATCACTACAAATTCGACCCGGCCCACGTTTAACCTAAACAAGGACAGCCCATCAACCTGGCCCATGGAGCCCATCAAGAGCCCAAACAAAGCGGACCGGGTCGCTACCCGTTAACCCGCCTCTGCCATTGCCAAAAATCCCAAAACCCTACGCTGCCTCTGCCGCCGCCTCGCCGCCACCATTCTCCCCTCCGCCGCAAAACCCTAGCTCCCAAACCCCTCGCCGCCGCCGCCATGATCACCGGCGGCCAGAGCTACGTCTCCGCGCCGCCGGCCTTCTCGGCCGACGGGCGTCTCCTCCTCGCCTGCACCGGCCGCACCGTCTCCGTCTTCAGCGCCTCCACCGGCATGCTGGTACGCGCCATGGAGAGAGAGAGAGATTTTGTGGCTCGCTGTGGTTTTTTTTTTTTGGTTACCGATGGGGGAGTGTGTTTGCAGGTGTCGGAGCTGGAGGGGCACGAGGGGGACGTCACGGCGGTGGTGGTGGCGCCGCCGCCGGTGGCGGCGGCGGCGAAGCTCGCGAGCTACTGCTGGACGGCGGGGCTTGACGGGTTTCTGGTTTACTGGGACTTCGCGGCGGCGGAGCTGGTGCGGAAGGTCCAGGTCGGCCTCCCCGTGCACTCCATGGTGAGCCGCTTTGCGAATTTCGTCGCCTTGGTTGCTACCGTTTTGTTGTGAGCAGTGAATTGGGCAAATGTTTATAGGTTAATTTTTTTTATTGTGTTTTGGGCGCAGGTCATTCCTAACATAGCCAGAATATCGAGAGGAGCTGAAATTTACACGCCGTTTGCATTCGTCTCTGTTGAAGACACCAGTAAGCCATCTAATGAGAAATTGCGCGGGCAGTTGCGAATTTATGACTTAACCAAAGGGCGTCAAGTGGGTAGTCTTCTGGCTGAGGTACAAATTTTACCTGTCCCAGTTCGTTTTCTAACCATTTTCCTGCGACAATATGTTTTTAGATATTTTATTATTGATCATGCTATGAATAGTGAGCTTCCATTTGGAAATGTAGTTTGCTGCTAATGTTGCTATTGCAATTAGAAATATAACAATAATATTGTGCTGTAGTATCTGTGGTAAGGTTTTCTATTAAAACTTACATCAATGTGTTGTTTGCTTCGATTTAAACAGACCCGTAAACCGGAAATGATTGTTGCAAGTAGCTCTGGTGAATTTTTGGGTATTACAAATAAGAGAAAGCTCCATGTATGGAGGATACCAACAAAAAATTTCAAGCCCGACAAGATAAGGAAGATAAAGCTTAGCCACACAAAAAACTTGAACACACTGGCCTTCCATCCAAGTGAGAGAATTGTTGCTAGTGGTGATGCAACGGGGCGAATACTGATCTGGAGAGGTTTTGGAAATGCAAAGTTTTCTGGATCAGATGGCACAAAATCTGAACTAGATGAAGACAGGGGTGATGTGAGGGGTAATGGTGATGCAGATACTTGCACTACATGGCATTGGCATTCAAGCGGAGTGAGGTTTCTCAAATTTTCTACTGATGGAGCTTACTTGTTCTCAGGTTTTGCTTGCTGATTTGTGTTCATTCAGTTGTGATTCTAGGGTTTTATGCTTTTCAATGACAAGTTCCTTATCTTATAGGTGGTATGGAGGGAGTTATTGTTGTATGGCAACTAGATACTGGGAAGAGAAGATATAAACCACGTCTAGGGTCTCCTCTTTTGTCCTTTGTAGATTCTCCGGATTCTTCCATTGCCTGTGTAAGTATCCCCATATTTTACATCTCCCATTGAACTTCGTTGCACCTGATATAGTAATCTGAAGAGTGAAAAACACACTATTTTTGTTGATTTAAGAGTTATTTGAATATGATGTTGCCACATAGTAGCCTCCAGTCACAAAAACAAGTTGTTTTGGACTTATCTAAGTCCACATTATACAACTTTTTACTGCCTAGTTCTTTAGCATAAATTTTAAAAAAGTTTATATAACTGTAATATTATGAAAGCTCTTGTTATGACAAAATTGAATTTATCAGTTTCATTTGCATACCGGAATACTATATTTTAACTGATATTTATGGTCAAAGAACTCGTGTTGACTGCATGCATTTTAAATTGACTTGTTTTTTTGTGGCCAGAGTGAGCATAATTATATATCATAATCATACATGTCCACATTAGGTTACATGATGTTATTAGAACCATATGAGAAAACTAGAATGGTTCAGCACTTCAGCATCTTTTTATGGTAACACATTTACTTCCTAATGGGCTGTACTGATGATGGGGGCTCATAAAGTGTAGCAGGTAGCATTTTTGTATTAGACTTTTTTTTGGCTCTATGATTGTTTCAAACTACCGTTTCTTTTTGTCTGTTTCTGTTTCATTTGTTTGCAATTCATTTTTGAAGTAGAGCTTAATGTTCTTTGTATTTCAGGTGTCATGTATGAATAACCAAGTCCATCTTCTAAAAATGCCCAACATGGAGGTCATGAAATCTATTGCTGGAATTAAGGTTTGTAATAGCATAAATATGCCCTTTAAGAGCCCACTCTAATCCAAATAAATTGTATTGATGATCTCTGCTGTTTCACTTTTTGGTGATTATATTATGTGCTAATGGATGTCTTTTATTTGTTTATCTCTTCAGCTACCTATATCTTCACCAAACCTGGGTGGTTGTTATCGAGATGTGTATGGATTTGATTACAGTAACAAACTTGTTGCTGTGCCAACAGAAGATTATTGCATACAGTTCTACGATTTATTTGAGAATACTGAAGTTTCAGAGGTAAAACAGTAAGCATATGAGAGCATTTCATCATATTTTATCCAGTTCTGTGGTTCTCAGTATATTGAATCGGTACTTGTCTTCCTGTTCTGGTTTTGTGCAAGAATATCCCATCCCAATATTTTTACTTTCTACAGGTGCAAGTTTGTGAGAGGAACTTTCACCCTGTTGATGATATCACAGTGAGATAACAACTTCCTTTTGCTTGTACCGTAGATTTCTTTTGTTAGGTTCTTGTGGCTTAAAATTTTTCTTTGTTTTTCACATTTATTTTAGTATCCAGAAGTTTGCTCTGATGAGAATGCTTTCCTTTCCACAGATGTACATTTCCTTAGTTTCATTGTCAATTGATGGTAAGTTTATGTGCACCATTGATGTCAAGCTTCCTGAAGAAGAATTAGGTGGGCTTGTTACATTGAAATTTTGGAACCAAGGGTCTCGTGCTGGACAATATTTTTTGTCCACTGTCATTTATGAGCCGCACAGGTACCAACATGACTATATAAGGTCAATTATAAATGGTTGCATATGTTCTCTTACCATTCTTTCATACAGCGATGCTGGAATTTCTGCTATTGCTTTCCGCCCTGGAAAAAACATGGCTGTGAGCTCTTCATTTGGTGGCAACTTTAAGGTGTGCATATCTATTGGTTATTGAGATGATGCTCTGCGTATCTATTTCTTAATTTTTACTGTTTTACCTGTAGGTTTGGGTCCAAAGTATGCTTTCACAACCAAGTGATGAAAAAAATCAATCTGGTTGGAGATGCCAATCCGTCGGCTCATACAAGTGAGTTGACTTTGTTAATTTAATTTCCCTTTAAACAATACCTCAATATTGCTGCCATAAGCATATATGTTATTGTTTATGCTGCTATAATATCATCTATTAATTTGTGGCAAATGTTGTAAATGGTGACGTAAAAAATGAAAAATTGCAGGAATAAACCTATGACAGCCGCAACTTTCTCAAGCGATGGATCTGTTCTTGCGGTTGCAGCTGAGAATGTCGTCACATTGTGGGATCCTGATAATAACACACTTGTTGGTGTGATTGCAGAGGCACTATCGGTATTGTATTATTCCTCAGCGTGGACTTTTGCCATTCTGTTCAGATTAATAGTTTGATATGTGTATCTCATTTCAATTTGCAGCCCATCACAAAACTTTCGTTCATTGGGACATCACCATTTTTGATGTCTCTATCTCAGAGCTCCAAACCACAGGTTGCCATGTGGAATGTTCCAAATCTTTCCATGCAATGGTCTTACAGCCTCTTTGCAGAAGGTACAAAATTATCTCGTTGAAATGTATCTTATGATTTTATTACATGAGTTGGTTCAGATTGCATGTCTAGTTATTCATCTTCATGATGACTATTAAGATTTAATCTTACCAGCTTGAAGAGCTGCCAAATGATAGTTCTAATAATTCAATTACCCTATACAGATGCAGTCGTCTAGATCCAATTGTTCTGTACGTTCATGATATAGAATTAAGTAGGCAAACTATAGCTAATAGTCTAGTACAGAACTTAGGTTTGACCTTTGTGCGAACATTTCGAAATTCTATCAAAGAAGTTGGGTTTGTGAAAACAAACTGCTGATATCTCCTTGGATAAGTCCGCAGAAAAATGCATCTGATATAATTCTCATTTTATATATGTACTTTTGACAGCTGCGTGTTGCTCGTCAAGTAGAAGTGAGTTTGCAGTTCTTGCTCTTCTAAGCTGTCCTGATGGAGAAACACTGGCAGAGCAAGATGGGGTGATACTACTTTTCGATGCAGAAAATCCAAAGCCTGTTTCTTCCTGGTCAGTAAAGAAGGTATGTTTGGCTGAGTTGTTATACTCTGAACAGTCCATAGAGCACATTATATATTTTCTGGGACTAAATTTTCTGGTTAGTGATTGTAGGCAGTGCGCATTGTTAGCTACTTATTGCTTTGGTTCTCAAGTGAAATGTTTATATTTTGTTTCTTTCCTCTGCTTGTGTCAATCTGTTGAATGCATCAGTGGCCCATTAATGTATTACAAGAATTAATTTCACTTTTCTTTTGTAGGCAAGGGGAGGCAGCGTTGCTTTTTTGAAGGGTGATTCCTCTTTGGATGCAAACAGAAAAGACAGGATAGATGGAGAGGCATCATCGCTGGTTTATGTCAACGGTTCTCATGAGTATGTTATATTTGATCCCCGAAGCAATGAAGAATTGCATATTGGCAAGAGTGCACACAAAAATATTCAAACTGAGGAGCCTGGTGAGTTATGGTTTGCTGCATTTATTCTAATCAGCTTCTGTATACTTGTATTTTTCATTGTGTTAACCTGCTCTTCTCTACGGCTATATTTGCTGGTGGCAAGATTATATAGTACTCCCTCCGTTTTAAAATGTTTGACACCGTTGACTTTTTAGTATGTGTTTGACCATTTGTCTTATTCAAAAAATTTAAGTAATTATTTATTCTTTTCATATCATTTGATTCATTGTTAAATATACTTTCATGTACACATATAGTTTTACATATTTCACAAATTTTTTTGAATAAGACGAACGGTCAAACATGTAATAAAAAGTCAACAGTGTCAAACATTTTGAAACGGAGGGAGTATATGAACATCATATCCCAACATTTTCTCATGCTAAATGTTTTACGCTCCAGAAACCATTCTCTTTTTTAATGCTAGCCTTCCAGAAACCCTTTCTGAATATTGTTGCATTGTGCCTGGCAAAACCATTTATTTGCCCCTTTTTCTTTTGTACTCTAAAACATGTTGAAAAAGGCTCTGAAGCTCCTTTTTGTTATTCCAGGACCAATTGGTTATGCTTCTATTTTTGGAGAACTTCCGAAACTGGAGTCAAAGAAAGATGTTCCAGAAATTCTATTTATACCGTCAGAGAGACCTTGGGAGACTATATTCAGTGGATCAACTCATGTTCTTCCGCCTCTCACAAAGTTATGTCCTGCATTCTTGGCATCATTGCTTGAGAAGAGACCAGTTGCAAATGAGTGAGAAAGTGCCGAAGTTTTGTCCCGTCATACAATGCAACAAGGAACCCTGCTAGTTACAAATGGCATTGCACATGAAATCCTTATGACTAGTGCTGCCCGAAGCTCGTCCAATACTGCTGAAGCTGGTTGTGGGCATTGATTATCTGTCAGCTCAGCTCACAAGAGAACACATGCGATGATGGCTACAGCAACGCTGTTGGGTGAATGAGCCACCCTACCTCTTTTTGTAGGTGATATCTAGTGATCTATCTTCAGATCCTAGCAAATTTTGTTTCCATAGGCTAATCTGTAATTCTGATAGCAAAAACTAGCTCTTTTTGGTGAAAATGTAACGCGCTAAGATATCCAGTAACACGGTGAGTGAATGATGCTGTTTTACTGACTCTGAATGAAGTGTGTGTTGATCTGGTAAACTGAAAACTCGATGCTTCTTTCAGAGTTTCAGTTGTCTGTTGCTTGCATACATGATGGAATACTTTTTTCTTCTAGAACTCTATAACAACCAGGCAAATAATTTGTCTTCCTGGAAAAAAGGCAATCTTGTCGATTATGTACTGATATCTGGCAGGCTAAACTTAGCAATTGCATTAGATGCCAAATATTGCCATATAAGTCTTCCAGATTCAGAAATTGATGGCTAAGCTGCACTGACAAGTACGAAATGCATGCAGGCTTGTGAACAGTTTCAGTCTGTATCGATGGCAATAGATGTTGACCCGTGCCATATCTCCAAATATGATACTCCAGTAATTTGTATGATATTCACATGAATCAAGCTCAGTTCTCGTACAAATCCTATGAAATTCGTTTGTTCCAAACAAGCCCTAAACAAAAAAAAATTATGATGTCATAATACGACTTACAAGTTACAATCAATTTGAAACGCGTGAATTTTACTGAAGCCGAATCAAGTAGAATTCCTGCGTTTCAAATGGACCCAACCGCAACAACCGAAATGTCAAAGCAAATTTTTACATCCAGGCAAACTGGCGACACAGACAGCGAGATCACATGACGTCCACGTAGGACGACGTGTCATCATCCAGGCCGTCCACGTCACGCTGGTCAAACTTGTCGACCAATCTCGACCCTCCAACCTCGAGCCTCCCGATCATGGCGGCCTCCCTCGCCACCTCCTCGTCTCCCTCGTCGAACCCCACGCAGTGCTTCGCGCTCAGCGACTCCAGCTCGAGGCAGCCATGGATGACGGCGAGGAGCTCGTGCCTTGGCAGGTAGCAGCCGTCGAGGCAGAGGCGCTTGAGGCGCGGCAGCGACGCCGCCATGGCCGCGGCGTCCACGTCGCGGATGGCGCCGGCCATCTTGAGGCTGGAGAAGCCTGGGCAACCGGCGCCGACGCGCGCCGCCGTCGCCGGGAACGACGCCGGCCTGTGCTCGAGCTCCAGGTGCTCGAGGCGGCGCCACCGCGCGACGAGGCCGGGCAGCCGCGCGTCGTCGGCGGCGGACAGCGCCGGGAGGGCGACCCTCCTCAGCTCCGTGCACCGGAGCGACACGAGGTCCAGGTCGGGCGCGCCGAGCAGCGGCGGGAGGGCGAGCTCGGCGGCGCGGCCCGCGGCGCGCGCGACGCAGAGGCGGAGGTAGCCCGCGAAGGTGAAGCGGCGGACGCCGTAGCGCGCGGCGAACGCGGCGGCCAGCGGCGACCACGGCATGAAGCGCGCGGCGGCGCCGCCGCCGCCGCGGAGGTCGAGCGCCCGCCACAGCGACGCGTCGCGCGCCGCGGCGCGCCACGACCGGCACACCAGCGGCGCCGCCGCGGCCACGTCGTCGAGCGGCAGCCGCCGGAAGATCTCGACGAGGCAGTCGGCGTCCATGTCTCCCCACCGCGCCACCGCCGCCGCCGCCTCCTCCTCTCCGGTGTCCATTGGCGCCACCCTTGGTTCTTGCTAATTTTCCAATTGCTATCTCCTTAAAAAGTAAAAAAAATAAGATTAAAATCTTGAGGCGAAAACCACTATAACCCCAAATGCAACTAAAATTGTACAAATTGCATCTTGCCACTTACAAGTTGTAGCCCATATCACGTTAATGTCGACACTATTATCGATATAAATTTAAGTCGTGCAACTGCGTGGGCCACTTACGTCCGATCTAAGATCAATGGACATCTACACTTGTGGATTTGAGTTTTGCAACTTGTTTAGTCGTCATCATCTTGGTCAAATGTTGTGTATATAGGGACAGCTCAAAGGTGAGAAAAAGTTTAAAAAGAAGTGGAAAAAGGGAAAGTGAGACAACAAAGAAAGTTGGAATTTGGATAGGAGGGAGTGTCCATATCACACACGCATACACATGGTATAGGAATGAGTCAAGTTAGACCAGTAGTAGTAGTATTAATTTCCTTAGCAGCCACAGCTAGCTTGGCATTGGCAAAATGTATTTATCAATAATACTTAAAAAGGCTTCAGTGATAGGGATAGTGAAATCTATCATTGTAAGTATTTCCGTCGTAAATTTTATGGAGTAAATCACTTCTTGAACATCTTGATATTGAAGGCAATCAAGTTTAGACAAATATAGAATCAAAATAAGTGAATATTCCCCGTAGCAAATAATGGATAGCACACTTCATTAAAAAAATATATTTATCCGTAGCAAAGCACGGGTACCATCTAATGTATATGTGTGGTATTATTTTGGTGTTTACCCTATTGGTCACTGGAGACAAGACCAGTGTGGTAGTAGCAGTTAAATTCTATTGTAGTAATTAGATGGTAAAATAAAATATATAGGCAGAATTCTTCAAAAAGAAAAAAAAATGACATTGTATCTATGTTGACGAAATGGTTCCGTTTCTCTAAAATTCTCATGAAATTCCTCCAACCTAAATAGGCCGTATAAGAATTTAGCAAAACAAAATATTGTATGATTGACTAGATACCCCAATTACATCTATATGTTCACGAAAGCTAAGTTTGTATTTTTCAAAATGAAGTCAACTCAAAATCCGATAATGATCCGAAATTATTATTGGTACAACTTTGTCATCCAAGTGGGATTAGTCCTAATTTCTTCACCATAAATGCGCTGTGCCATGGGTACGTTGTATACTCGACTTTGTCGACATAGCTTACATAAAAAAAAAATTGAAATTAATTAAACATTGGAACAGAGCTAGCTATCCATGCATGACGTTCGCATGTGCTTAGGACAGAAGGATATTACTCCCTCCAATATGTCTTGATAAATATCGTTTTGGACATCATTATGGTATTTACAACACAATTCAATAATTTGTATTGTAATATATTATATAGTCTAGTGAAATTCAAACATTATGAAACATTTCTCCAGATTAATTTATATGTGATTCTCGCGTATCCATTCTAAATACTTTTAAGATGCCGTTCATACTTCAGAGTTTTAAAATGTTTGACCAGAAACATGTCCAGGTACACGCAGGGTGAAATGAGTTTTTTAATATATTTAATATGAAAAAGGTATTCCATTCGTCATCTCTTTTTGTTAAACCCAGCCATATTGGTTAAGTGAAAATGATGGTTTGCAACCTTGCATCAATCAATCTTAAAGTAACACTGTTTTGAGAAAACAAAGCGTTGATGTTACGTTGGATTTTCTTGGCTTCACATTCTTATAAGCATAGTTTTTTTTTAAAAAAAATGTTAACCCCTCTCTAGCGTTGACAATGATGCGAAGATTTTTTTTAGAAAAAAAAACGAATGATGCAAAGATTGCCATATGCATAATTTAATTGTATTTGTGATACACTGACTGACATATGTTGATATATCTCCATGTGGTGCAAATCAATCTCTGTACTTTTTTCAAGACAAAATCCATGCCAATTATGTATATACAGGAACCTGAACAAAGAACAACCACGTGTCTTCCAGAGATACCGCACAAATGTGCAGCAAATCAATCATAATTTACACACAGAGTACGTTTGAACTGTAACCAATTACAATCAAAGACGTCATTATGTCTGACAGGATCCGGCTTTGTTGCCATTAGGTCTGACAATTAACCTAAAAATATCTTGATTACGTACGATCGAGATGATTAATTTTGGGACAAAGATCGAGAAGATGGCTCAAAGTGCTTCAATTTTATTTTATTTTCTCCTTGCAATTTCACATGCGGTCGATGAAGTTGGTGTCTACAAGAGTGAGCCAGTTGGCCAATTGCGACTATAGCTAACATTGCGAAGGACATCACACCGAAAAGATAAATTTTGTGATTTTTTTTTAAATCAAGAGTAGGCAGAAATCGTGATCAATGTTCAAGTTGTTCACGTTTCGAAATTCAAATCCCTGTCCCGCGATGAATTGACGAAGGAACGTGCAGGTCTCAAATTACGTGAGTGGTGGTCGAAACTATAAAGTGCTTCTTTCTGATTTTATTGGCAATAAGTCCACGCTTTTGCAGAATTGCAGCTTATGCTAAATAAATAGTACTCCCTCCGTTTCAAAATGTTTGACACCGTTGACTTTTTAGCACATGTTTAACCGTTCGTCTTATTCAAAAACTTTGGTGAGATATGTAAAATTATATGCCTATATAAAAATATATTTAACAATAAATCAAATGATAGGAAAAGAATTAATAATTACTTAAATTTTTTGAATAAGACGAACGGTCAAACATGTGATAAAAAGTCAACGGCGTCAAATATTTCGAAACGGAGGGAGTAGTAGTTTCGTTAAAAATAGGACGCCACTTTTTTTCTTAATTTCAATCACTGTTTTTTATTAAAAATAATAATAAACATAGTTAGTCCCACGAAATACGGGAATAGATTGTTTAGATATAGAGTTAACAAAAGTGAGAGCATATTTTCTCAATTTTGGTCGTATTGCACAATCCAAATATCTAAATGTGTACTCGTAGAAGAAAATATCTTTCTAAATCTACTTAAGGACGTGCGTGCATTACACTCATACCACTGCACACGCATATATGAGCGCGTCCTTAACTCCTTATACACATGTGACATGTCCACTATAAATTCATATATTATCTCTCCGTTTTATAAAACAAATTAGATGCTATCAGGATTTATTGTACTCAGTTATGTTTCATCCTATTAGATTGTTTTATTACAGGACAAAATGTGTATTAGACAACCACCGAATTCAGCAACATGAAACCACCATAATATGACTGTTACTAAAGCTAAAGGTTTAGTAAGAATTTTAGTACGTGCACCCAACCCTGCAGTTGGTTCGGGCCAAACCGCACGCGTAATTAATGATCCAGTGGGCTCCGGCCCAATCAATCCAGCTGCCGTGCCACTCATCGGCGCCGACGACCAACATCTCCGGCCCGTTGTTTCCTCGCCGCCGGCCACCGCCGCAAATCGAGCTTGACAATTGACATCGACGTCGACCTCTCCTTTTCCTCTTTTTTTTCTTTTTCCATTTTTTCCCCTCGCTGTGACAATTTCAGCCCGGTGTTGCTACGGCCCAAGGGATGAAAACAGTTGGAATCGATAGCATCTCTTTAAAAAACGACACTCAATCAGTTGATAATTGACCATATTTATTATTGGAAAAAGTACGAATTACCCCCCTCCCGAACTATCGCGGTTGTCCGAATTACCCCCGAACCACAAAACTGGGTATTCTTCACCCCCAACTATGTAAACCGGACAAATTACCCCCCTCGATCCAATCCGCGGTGGTTTTGGTCCACGTGACGTGCGCGTGGCAGTCCAATCAGCACTATATTATAAAAAAATTTGTGGGACCCACCTGTCATCTCCTTATCCTCTCTTCCTCTCTCTTCTCTCTCACTCTTCCTCTCTCTCTCAAACGGCTCCGGCGGCGGCGACGTGTGGGCGGTGGCGGAGCGCCGGGGAGGACGCAGCGGAAGGCGGCGCCGATGATGAGGAGGACGACGACGAGGATGGAGCGCACGGCGGCGGCGCCCATGAGCGACCCGGAGAAGGGCCCGAACGCGCGGTCCGCCCAGACCACGAACCCGCCGTTCCCCGGCATCGCCGTGGAGAGCTCGGCGGTGATGAGCGACTCTGGGACGGCCCAGATGACGGGGAAGATGAGGAAGCTGAGCAGCGCGAACAGCAGGCCCGCCGACTGCGATGCCATCGACGGCGGCGGCGTTCTTAGGCGGCGGCGTTCTTAGGCGACGCCTTGGGCAAGGCGGTGGCGGTGGCGTCGGCGAGGCGGTGGGCTTCCTCGGCCACCATGGATCGATCTCGGCGGCAACCAACCGGGCCGGGATTCGAGTTCCCCGGAGTCGTGGAGGAGGTTGGTGAGGTGAGGTGAGGAGGAGTTGGTCTCCTCGGCCGCCATTGCCGGGATTATGTATGAGTGGGCAGTGATTGCTAGTAGTCATCCTCGTCGTCGTCCTCCTCAACCTCCCGCCCGCCACCGCGTCCTCCCCGGCGCTCCGCCACCGCTACCGCCCGCCGCCACGTCCTCCCGGCGCTCCGCCACCACCCGCACGCCGCCGCCGCGTCCTCCCCCGCACACCGCGCCGGAACCGTTTGAGAGAGAGAGGAAGAGTGAGAGGGAGAAGAGAGAGGAAGAGAGGATGGGGAGATGATAGGTAGGTCCCACAATTTTGTTTTATAAATAGAGTGCTGACTGCCATGCGTACGCCACGTGGATCAAAACCACTGCGAATTGGGTCGAGGGGGTAATTTGTCCGGTTTGCATGGTTGGGGGTGAAGAATACCCGGTTTTGTGGTTTAGGGGGTAATTCAGACGACCGCGATAGTTCGAGAGGGTAATTCGTACTTTTTCCTTTATTATTTATTAAATTACTTAACGTTGACACTAATACGATGTAAAAAAAATTAGAAAAAATAAAATTTATAAATAGTGAGAAAGGTACGGGTGGAAACGATACCTCTTATACAGAAACGGAGCTTGATCGATTGGGAATTTCTGTGACCGTTTTCACCCATATACGGCCCAATAACCATTTATTGGTTATTGGGTCTGCGGGCTGCAGGCCCAATTAAATCTCGATCTCTTCGCTTAAACCAGGTTAATTAGCAGGGGATTAGGATTGACACGAGCGCAGCGTGGCCTAACTAAACCGAACCATCAACTAAACCACCCCTGGCCTTTTCTGGTCAACGGTCAACGCTCAGCATGCAAACCCCGACCTAAACCTCGCCATGGATTCGCCTACAAAAGCTTCGCGCGGCGCAGCCACCGAGCTGCACGACGGCGGCCGGCGGCGAGGAGAGAGAAACCAGCAGCAGTTGCGACGGCGATGGGCTGCCACCACCACCACCACCAGCTGCGACGCCTCGCCGTGCTCGCCGCGGCGCTCTGCGTCGTCGTCGTCGCGACGGCGGCGAGGCCGCTGCAGGCGAGGAGACACGGCGAGGCGGTGGAGATGGACGTGTCGGCGGCGGCGCCCTCCGGCGATGGGGCGGTTCGAGAGGGGAAGTGGCTGCCGCTGCTGCCGGCGGGTGGGGGGCTGATGCACTTCCCGGTGGTCGGCGGCGTGTCGATGCCGTGGATGGCCGGGGCGCCGCCGGCGATGGCCGGGCCGGGGGTGCAGCTGGTGCCGCCGTACGTCGGCGCGACGCGGCAGGAGCAGCTAAGCCTGTGGGCGTCGCTGTTCAACCCGTTCCAGGTCAGGCCCAGGCTGCCCGCCGCCGCCGCAGAGACGACGTCGCCGGCGGTGCCCGTGGACATCCCGGCCATTGCCGGCGTGTCGCCAGAGAAGACGACGGTGGACGAGCCGGCCGCCGGCGAGCCCAAGTGGGGCGTCTTCTTCGGCAACAACAACTAGCCTATGATGAATATTATGATCCATTAGCTTTTAAGTATAGAAATGAATTAATCGACCTTCTTTTTGGATTAAAGTTTAGTGAGTATAATTCAAGTAATACATATGTAAGTCTGCATGTTTAGGTGTCAAACTTATTACAAAAGAAAATATGGAGAGTTGTAATATTTGTAGTGATGAAAACACATGAAAATTCTTCACTTATATCCTGTCCCACCGTTTAAAATATATATATAGTCACTTGAATATTTTTGTTTTTTTCTCAACACTGACAAAGATAGTTGGATATATATTAATTTAACAATGCCTAGCTGGATAAAAATGATCATCCTGAAGGGATGGATGATCATTTTAGTTGTCCAATGCCTTTTTTTTTGGAGGTTTCTTAAGTCATAAATTTTCAGGCCCATTTGTGCTATATGGGCCGGGAATTCCAGCCCAATTTGCTTGAGATGCACTTGATTTTGTATAGCCAACCTCTGGCCGGCCTATTTAGAATTTGGTAGATAAATGTAATTTAGCATTTGATACTTTCGCAAGAGGAAGATTAAACATTAGCCTCTAGTGAAAATTGCCTAACTCCATCTCTGCATTAAACCATACAACATACTAATTATTTGCTCAATTTGTCCTCCCTTTCTTATCCACACAAATTGGGTACTGAGACTAATCTGATAGAAAATGAAATTGCATAATTGCCAATCATGTGATAGCTAAAAGAAACATAAGACTTGAACCAAGTGCTCACATGCTCTAATATTGCACAGCAATAAATGGGTAGAGACTCCTAGATTTCAGGGAAAATGTTCCAAATTTGTTAATCTCCAATGTCTTGAGTTTAATGCAGCAGCCTCCAAGCTTGTCATAAACCTGATGGAAAAGGCTAGCTGTTGGCACCTGTATTTATGTACGAGTTAATCAAGCTAATGATGATGATAGAAAAAAATGGTGGTTAGCTATGGATGGATGTGAGCCACAAGCTCAGCCATGGCTGCTCTCTCCTTACATCTGAATGACTTCTCTGCCTCACAATCTCATGGGGCAGAGGAGAATGGACGATGCAATGCAAAATGCAAGGCCCCAGAAGGAGAATAAAATATGTGGCTAGGGTTCCAAGGATCTGTTTTGAGGCCACAAGTCCACCAAAGTTTTATAGTGATGTGGATCAAATTCAAAGCAGGTTGGAGGATGAGAAATTCATAGAACCCTTTTTTTTCTCTCTTTGGTTTTGGTCTTTGGAATATTTTTTTTCTTTTCTTTTTCCAAGGAGTGTGATGGTGACTATCAATTATCCATGGCTTTTTGGCAAGGAAGGTTCACCTTTTTTTCCTATAAAGAGGCTGTGAGAATATGATTGGATCACTGTGTGTATTATCATGTGAAAGATAACTGGTTATAGATGTATAGGTACTTGTCCAATTGGAATATGAGTGACACTTATGGGTTGTTTGGAGGGTTTTTTTTTACTCCTTTTCCTCTAAGAATTTAACCTTTTTATCCCATTTTTGCCACTAAGCTGAAAACCAATTTCACTTTTGTTAGTCAGCTGTACCAGCCCCAGTGGCAAAAATAGCAACAGTGAGATATGATCATTGCTTAGTGACAAAAAACATAAAGCCATCCCATAATGTATTATTCCGATTACCCCCTCCGTCTCAGAATATAGCAACCTAGAACCGGATGGGATGTATCCTAGTACTACGAATATGGGCATGCCCCCTGTCTAGATTCGTAGTACTATCATATGTCACATCCGATCCTAAGGTTGCTATATTCTAGGATGGAGGAAGTACTAAATTTTCATAATTCGATTCCATGCCCTCTAGTATGAAATCCGTAAATACATCGAACCGGAGGGTTTCATTACCAAAAGTAAAAGGGTAGCAACTTTTTTATTATGAAAAGAAAAACAGTAACAAAGTAACAAAAAAGTTGTTGAAAATCACCTTTGATCATTTCATTTGACCAGTTAATACTATCTCTTTTAAAAAAACAATACTCTCCTGTCACTGCCATCGTTAATATTACCTAATTAAAAAAACCGACTGTTCATGGCCGTGCGGCCGTGCCCATGATCTGAGATCAAACACGGAGAGCCGTCACATCCTGCAAATTATTTCCTAGATAGAATCGTGTTCTACGCTCAGATGTTGACGTCGCAGACGAACAATTTGGCCGCCGCATTCTCGCTGATCGACCCGTATCTTTGCTATTAGCTTCTCAACTGTTCATGCTTTGATCTCAAGGTTCAGAGCATTGTATCACTCGTCAGAAAAATGCAGAAAATTCAGAGAATTGAACTCGTCAAAACATGGATGGATGGATGGATGGATGCCTCCGTGCTGCATGCTACTGATCCATGGATGGATGGATGGATGATACGCTGCTTCTCCAAGCGTGTGTGAGTTGGAGTGAGATGGACGTGACACTAATCTGGTGCTGGATTTGGGCGCCATACTGACTGACAGACAGGATCGCTTGGAGCTCAGATCTCCCAAATCTTCCGTAACCACGACCCTGCACGATGACAAGTTTTCATATTCAAGTCGATGACTTAACTCTGTGTTAGAGAATATGGTAGTTAGAGTTATATTAGAATAGGATTGATTTATGTGGACTCCTTCCATATCTGTAATCCTTTCTTATCTCCTTCTCGTGTACTCCTATATATACCGCTCCCCCTGAGACTCAATACAAGTCATCCCACATTACACAGTATATCTCTCTTCATATACTATCCAACACTCTGAATTTAAATTGAATCAACCGGTGTTATAATTAGTAGTCAAACGTGGGAGAGTGTTTTTATTCCTCAAGGGGATATCTCATTGTTTCTTACATGTCCTGTACATAGTTAGTATAAAATATTTTCAAATTTTGATAAGATAGATTAATACAAGATATATCACTTCACAAACATAGAAATTCAAATTTAACTTCTACATGTAGTAACAAAAATAACAAATATAAATACGAATGTACATTAATTAGTTTCAGTTTAATTGGTTTTTTTACAACTTGGAGCAGTCAAGTTTGAACTTGCAGATTTGTATATAATATATCTCATATTAATATATCTTATCATTTTTTAAGTGTTTTATGACTATCTTAGGTGTTATGGTGTTATGTAAGAAACGAGGGATGTCCTTCGAGGGATGAAAAATCTATCTCCGTCAAAGGTGGTAATTATTCAGAATGCTTTCGTAAGTTCAGAGTTTTTGCAGTTAATTTAAATCTTGTGTGAGATGAACCGGAGGAGATTAATTGTGATGCTATGTTGGCAAGGCAAGTTGGGGGGTGTATAATGCTATGTTGATAACCATTCCCTGTCGCTCTCCGGCGAGTCCTCTTCCTGCCCTGCCCTGCCCTGCCCTGCATTCTTTCTTTCTCCACCAGGGGAATCCAGTTCACCCCCAGTGCTGCTTCTGCTGCTGCTTCTGCATCATCTTGCCCTGTTAAAAAGACACAGTGCCCTTGTTCTTTCGCAGTTGCAACTAGCATCTCCTCCTCTACTTGTACTCACTTCACACCTCAGCTCAGCTCAGCTCATCTCCTGTCATCTCAGCTCAAAGAGAAAGAGCTGAAGGTGTAAGCTGATCACCAGGAAGCAGAGGCTTTTTTTCAGATTACAGTTATCTGAAACAACCAACTTCAGAATCAATCAGCAAAGGTAGAGGGAGTTTCTTGTTTCTTTTGTGTACTACTACATGACTATATCCATATCTCCTTTTTCTTCTACTTCTTTTTCTTTTGTTTGGTTGTGAGTGTTGTTGCTGTGTGTTTCAACAAGTCAACTGGATAGATAGATTCATAGATATGATAGTTTTTATCTGAGGTTGGAGGTTTCCCCTCTCATCCACCACACACATTTTGGCACCCCAATCCTGAATTTACTGTTCAATTCTCTTCTTTTTATTCTTCCTCTGTTGATTGATCATCCATGCATGCATACTGGTATATAGTACTAGTGCTCAAGTGCTCATCCTTCCTGATGGTGAATCTCTTTTGAGAAAAGAAAAGAAAAAGATCTCTCTCATCTTGGCTTTTTTTCCTGTTGATCTGAGCACTGCTCTTCTCCAGGTTGTTTCATTCTGCAGGTCTACAGCTTTTGTCATCAAAGTGGTAGGGTTTGTACTTTGTAGTAGATTGCAGTGATGGCCCTTCTCTGCTTTTTTTTCATTCTCTGTTTGTTCTTGTTGCTCTTATTCTGTTTCATTCTACTTTTTTTAAACAAATCCATCCTTAGAGTTCAGTTTTCCCTTAAAATTTTTCCAAACCTACAAATTTTGTTCTCTGTGAATTCATTTTTGCATGATTCTTGCAGAATCTGAAATGATCATTGGCTTTGCAGGTAGAAACAAGACAGAGCTGCTGTGCTTCTGTGATTAATTAGGGTTGTTAATGCCATGAACCAGTTCGTCCCTGATTGGAACACCACCAGCATGGGCGACGGCTTTGCGCCATTAGGGTTCGTGCGATTCTTGGATCGAAGCTTGAGATCTTTCCATCGATTGGAGGCGATCGGATGAGTGATTCTTTGGTTTCTTGTTCTTCTTGTTGTTGCAGCGAAGACGACGGGCTCGTCGAGCTGCTATGGTGCAATGGCCACGTCGTCATGCAGAGCCAGGCGCCGCGGAAGCCGCCGAGGCCGGAGAAGACGACGGCGGCGGCGGCGGCGGCGATGGCGGAGGATGAGTCGGCGTCGTGGTTTCAGTACCCGGTCGACGACGTGCTTGAGAAGGACCTGTTCACCGAGCTGTTCGGCGAAATGACGGCGGCCGGCGGCGGCGGCGGCGACGTCCGCAGGGCGGCGTGCAAGGAGGAGCGCGGCGCGGTCGCCGCGTTCCAGAGCAGGATGATGCCGCCGCCGTGGCCGGCGAGGGGGAAGGCGGAGTTCGGTGACGTCGACGACGTGTGCGGCGTCTCGGAGGTCGTCATGGCGAAGATGGACGGGGCGGCGGCGGCGGAGACGGTCGGCGAGTCATCGATGCTGACAATCGGGTCGAGCATCTGCGGGAGCAACCACGTCCAGACGCCGCCGGTGGGGAACGGGAAGGCCGGCGCCGGCACCGCCGGCGCCGCCAGAAGGGCGCACGACACGGCGACGGTGGCGTCGTCGTCGATGAGGTCGAGGTCCTGCACCGCCAAGGCCGAGCCGCGCGACGTCGCAGCCGCCGGCGTCGGCGGCAAGCGGAAGCAGCGCGGCGGCGCCGCCATGGAGTCCGGGAGCCCCAGCGAGGACGTGGAGTTCGAGTCCGCCGCCGCAACGTGCTCGCCGGCGCAGAAGACGACGACGGCGAAGCGGCGGCGCGCCGCCGAGGTGCACAACCTCTCCGAGAGGGTACGTGTCATGCACGCTCACATTTTGTTCTTCTTGCTTTGACTTTTCTCTCTTATTATTATTATTATTATTATTATTATTATTATTATTATTATTATTATTATTATTATTATTATTATTATTATTATTATTGCTGCTGCTGCTAATAAAAAATGTTAAATTGATTGTGATGCAGAGGAGAAGAGATAGGATCAATGAGAAGATGAAAGCATTACAGGAGCTCATACCTCACTGCAACAAAGTAAACTACTCTAAATTTAATCTGCAAGCGCCATTACATAATTACAACTAGCAACATTGCTATACATCTCATTAAAATTTAAATCGAATTTATTTGAAAATGGTGACCTCATTCTTGTTTCATATTTTCAGACGGACAAAGCATCGATGCTGGATGAAGCGATCGAGTATCTCAAGTCACTGCAGCTCCAGCTACAGGTTTGTACTACGTAAAATGAATGTAACTCAATACTAAAATTGATTAACGATAATCCGACGATGATGATGTGAATGGCGTGGTTCAGATGATGTGGATGGGCGGCGGAATGGCGCCGCCGGCGGTGATGTTCCCGGCGGCCGGCGTGCACCAGTACATGCAGCGGATGGGCGCCGTCGGGATGGGCCCACCACACATGGCGTCCCTGCCGAGGATGCCGCCGTTCATGGCGCCGCCGCCCGCCGCCGTGCAGAGCTCGCCGGTGGTCAGCATGGCCGACCCCTACGCCCGCTGCCTCGCCGTCGACCACCTCCAGCCACCGCCTCCGATGGTAAGTAAAGCACGTGCCTGTACAGTCACCATGCATCGATCAGTAATTCAGTAGCTGCCATGAAATGTATTTTCAGTTTCGACGCGAATACTAGGGAAGGAACTAATATCAAATAATAGAAGGGGTGAGCCTTCGAATCGAGATCGTCTAGCCCACCACCTTATAGAGCTAGCCGGAAGGCCCTCGAGCGTTTCTCATATTTTCAGTTTCCTAAGAGTTTTTTTTTTTGTCAGCAGCATTACCTGCAGGGGATGAGCTTCTACCAGCTCGCCGCGGCCAAGAACCTTCAGCAGCAGCAGAACACGGCGGAGGCGCCGCCACCGCCACCGGCCGGAGGCAACCGCGCAGCCGCTGACTCCTGACGACATTCTGCACAAAAAATACGGTGTGTAAGTACTATCTACTCCACATTTCAGTGTCAATGTACATGAAACAAAAATGAAAATCAGTGATCTGCTACTAGTCTACTAGTAGTACTAGTATCGTACCACAAAGAATGCTTCAAGGCCTGAAATTTCGACCCAAATACCCGAAATTTCCGGGTTCCGATCCTCGTACAAGTACTACATATGTCCTAAAATATAACAACTTTTACCTATGAATCTAGCCAAGTGCATGTCTAGATTCGTAGTCAAAAGTTAATGTATTTTAGGATGGATGAATTATGAAATTTCGGAACGAAATACCTGAGAATTCGGGGGTATTGATCCTCCAGTAGTACTATATGTTGGAAAAGAAAAATCAGACAGAATAAATATATGCATTTTTTCGCTTGAAATTTTATTTGAAATTGCCCTGTAAAATGAGCCAGAAAAGTCTAAGGAATTTAAAGATGAATAAAATCTGAGGGTGTGAACACAGGTTTGCTTTCAGCAAAGACAATGTGATCTGGTTAGCTCAAGAACCTGTCATTGTCATGCACTGTAGGCTAGAGTTTACTTTGCTGATTTCACTCGGCTACATGCACTGCATCCATCGGTGTCAAATTCACGGACTAGTTGATCATTTATCTCTTGTAGATCCGTGGATAGCTGCATCACAGAAACTCTGAATTTCTCTGTTCTTAAATGCAACTGTTTGTTCATCTCTGACTTGACTTATCACTCACATATCTGTCTCTTTTTTGTCCCTGAAATATTGCAGACAACTGTAGTAAGTCTGAGAGCAAGGGTGGCACCAGTTGATTGCCGTCAATCTGAAGATATGTATATAAGGCTCTGATGCAATTGAGTTGAGAGGCTGGATCATGATGGCTACCTAATCATTAAGGGGAATTTAAGATCATCCCTTTTACTGACGTCTAAATTCGGTAGGCAGTGTAGATCGATCAGCGGTTAAGAGTTAACAAGTCGTGAATTCTTTTTTGCTATGTATGTAGTACTATTTTTTCCCCTTTGGGGAGACATTGGTTATGTATCAGTTGTTGATGTACCTGTTCAAATTTATGCCAACCAGAGCAAATTGTATTATCATCCGCCTCAACTGTGTCATGTCATGTTAATTTAACTGCATCTACCAAAGTACAAAGTCTTAATTAACCAAAATGATCGAGTAAAACCATATCAATTTCATAGAAGTGCTTCAGAGTTCTTCCAAAAACTGAATGGCATAAATTCTAAAGCATTGCTGATAGTAGCAGAGTATTGGCCATTGGATGGATGCAAAATAGTCCTTTATCCCTTTAAAATCTGCTGCATTTATCAGCATGTATAAATGTGTGCAGTCTTATCTGTTAAAGCTTTACTACCCATTGGTAAAAGTTGGATGGTGATGATGTTTACAGAAATAAAAAGCTATCTATAATTTTGCCTTACCGAATCTGTTTTTAGTTCATCTGGACAATAATTTATCTGTGCAATAAGCAGATAAGACAGAGAAGTCTAGTACCTAGTGTACAATACATTCTGATTCTTCTTCTTTTCCGTTCTTTGGTCAAGTATCATGCATCTTCTCAAGTTTCCAGTCTTCATACAAAGAAGTGAAACCCTTTTGCACATTCCTGAAAAGAGAGAGAGTGAGGCCTAGAAAATCAGCTTAAAGATAAACCTGAGCAACTGTAAAACAGGTTGGTAACTGGTGCCCTATCATGCCATCTCCAATTTCCAGGAAGAGAGGAAAAAGAGGACTTTGCCAATCATTGATGTGATTTCATCACCATCCATGAATGTCTGCCACATCTGTGGGTACTACTACTATGTATAGGATACCAAATATGCTCTGCCTTCAAATGCCATGGGGCACTCCTGTCTGCAGATGAGTGACAGAAGTGGTGACCTGAGTTGAATCCATGCATGCATCATGCATGTACTTTGCAGTTATGCACCATGTTTGCCTCACTGCCTGCATATCATTCATTTCATGATGGACTGAAGAGTGAAGATGCTTTCATTTCTTAACAGTGTCACAGTGTAATGTCAGTAACATGTCGTGTCGAACCCAAAGCTCTCTAGCTTCTTAATTATAGCTGTGTGATATAAAAGCTTAAGTGAGAAGAGATCAAATTTCAGATAGTGCACTTGTTTTTCCAAGAAGTTTTAGGAAAAAAAACAAAACGGTTTTTTTAGCGTAAAAGCAAATCAAACACTATTGCTTTCAGATTGAAAATGGTGGGGGGGGGGGGGGATCTTGTGGAACTGGCAATTTGTTGGGAGGGGGTAGCCTGATCTATCTGTCCTCAATTCCTCCTCACTTGTAGGTAGGGGACAGCAGAGAGACCCCCTGCCTTTCTTTAGGGCTGCAACTTTGGAAGTGTGCTTTGGATCATTATCTCCTACAGTTGCCCACCCCCAATCTATTCTGAGCTGACACACAACTTTTTCAGATTTGGTCTTAATCTGATTTTGCTCACCCCAGATCTGGGACTATTCACCTATCATTGCATCCCTTGGAGCACACAGTGCTGGGATGATCTGGCATGAGCTTTCCTGCAGATAAATAGCCTCTTTTTCCTACTATATTTTTCCTTCCATGAATGGTTATAGTGTTAGACAGTGCCAGGAAATCATTGATCTTGGCTCATGGCAAATCATTGCCTTACCAAGAACTCCCTGTGACCCTATTCCTGCATAATCAGGTTATCAATAAAGTTTGATGTTATTTTGTGTGACACAGGCCATGGCCCCAACCTTACACTGCTAAATGATACATTTTTCCCCTGATAAACATGATCTAACATTCTCTTGCTGAACACACTGTGATCCGCTGCATCTTGATGCGGTTAACGCGTCGTGAGGTGGCCTAGTCCTTAGCTTCTGTCTTACAGGTCAGCATCTTGGGTGCAGTGGAATTCGGATCTTGGATGGCACTGAACAATCAGTCCATCAAGAAGAAAATAAAAAAGCAGCAGTAACAGGGAAGGGAAGGATACATGCATCTCTCGGAGTGCAGGAATCGCATCAACCTTCCCTGTCATTTTTGGTTCTTTAGCAAACCAGCCTATAGGACCACACCATCCTACACATACTTGGATCACGAATCAAGTCATAGCAAAGCGATATTCAACTTCTCCTCTCTTTCTGAACATCTGTGCAATGCACCGTTCGCGCCTCGGATTTATGACAGCTAATACACATTACTGTCCTAATTCCTAAGTCACATGCATTGCACTATAACTATTCTTCCATCCAACTGAAAAGATAACCTCACAAAGTTGTTTTCTAACTCCAAAGCCAAGAAAAATGTGGATAAGGATTATCTAGGATTCTAGGTAGGAACAGCATACTTCGTTTCTTTGTTTTATGTGTGTAACCGTGGCTCAGATTGCACGCTATCCATCTTGTTATATGACAAGGAGGGGGTCAAACACAGAGATATGGACATATCAGCATATGGCAGCGACAGAAACCGATCAGTAACTACTAGCAACAACACAAGTTACAATACTGCATTTCAGAAGATGAGAGCTAATGCAGAAGCTAACCTCTGTAGTTTCAGATTTTCTTTTTCAGTGCAATGCATGCATCAGATTTGCAGTTCAGATAAAAGCAACACACCAAACAATCACCACAGTCCACAGGAGCATATCCATTTCTGTTCCAATACTCCTGCCATCATCATCATCGTGTTGAGTAATTGGAACCAATAATTATGTTGTGTGATGTGATTTTACTCTGCTGGTGATTACTGAAACTAAATTATTAATTCAGAAAGCAATGGAGTACCTAGCAGCAAGAACTTGTAGGGGTCGTCGATTCCGGTGAGGCCAACAAGCCGTGCAGGGAAGGGGAGAGCTGAGCTGCTGAAGGCGAGGTTCCCGTACCACATCCGACCTGACTCCCATCGCCGCCGCCGCCGCCGCCGGCGGTGGTGGGGGTCGCCGGAGAAGGGTGTGGGCGCCGCTAGTCGCCGGAGAGTGGGTTGGGGGGAAGAAAGCTGACGCTCCTTTGGTGTGGGTCGTTGAGTCGTTTACCGGTGCACCGCCCGACGACCTCGCCGGCGACGAGCTCCGCGCCTCCGCCTCCGCGGCGTGGCTGCCGGCGACGAGAAGCTAAGGTAAGAAAAGTCAGTGATAAGTGGGCCGATTTGCTCATTGGGCCTACGCAGAATCATTATGTCGGCCCATTAAAATTGGGCTTACGAAGTGATGTGCCTTTACTATGCAAAATGTCCTGCTTTTCTCCTGCGATTTTGCAACCCCTATTGGTGAAATTCAAGCAAAAAGATGGGGGGAAATACTTGAAATTCAGTCATCTTGTCAGAACATGTATGATGAAGATTATATGCATGCCAAACACTAATCTCTCGTTTTGAAATGTGAGTTCTCTTGTAAAAAAATATATGAAATTTTGGTTAGACGAGACACATCATAGTACTGCGAATTTATACGTCCAACCAAAATCTCTTATATTTTGTATCAAAAGTGAGTAGTACTTACTATGATGTAGTACATGCCAAATGAATCTGAGCTACTGGTCACTGGTGTCAGATGGGCTGATTTGTGAAATGGGCCTTGTCAGTCCATGATGTCTCCTTCTACTGGTTTGAAACGTAGCCCAACTTACAAAATTCACTGGAAACTCGTTAAAATTCATCTCTAAACATGTGTGGACTGTGAAGAAAAAATAGGCCCATCACAAAGCCATACAAGCATAGCCCAGCTTCAACTGACTGAAACAAAAAGGAGAAACTGAACCCAAGCATAAAAATCTGCAAAAGATAATGTTGATTATTACACAATCATACATCCAATCTATCCAAAATCTGTAGCACTGCATGCTTAAGATGGAAGAGATCAAATGCTTAGTCTCACCCTAATGATTGACCCCTCCAGCAATAATGGCCAACAAGACTAAAAAGTTCTCTCTTTTTTCTGACAAAAATAGTGGGGGCTCCTGTTTCATGAGCACCCACAGTGCAGTAGTGCAGGCCAGGCCACACTCACTTGGCTGGTTGTGCCAAGATAGCTGGACAGTAACACTGACACCCGCTGCCAGGTGGGCCCTGCCCCCACCCCCCCCCCCCCCCCCCCCCCCCGCGCCCCGCGCAAACCCCCCAAAAAAAAGAAACACCAGACACACACTGTTACTAGCAAAGCCAGCTCATCCTATTGGCAAAGATCCATCACCTGTCAGTGAAACAGTGAGAGCTAACCATTGCTGGCCGGCCATGGACACTTTCTCCATTGAAATTTCTGCAGCTCAAGTTTCAGAGCAGGTCATTAGTTCGTCACCCTGAAAACCGCTTGGTTTTTTCCCTTCCATTTTCTCGAGAGGAAGATGGAAGGGAAGAGCAGGAAATGGGTTTAAACTGACGAAAACCGCTTAGTTTTTTCTCGAGAACCAAAGTTTTTGGGATGGCTCGCGATCGCAAACCACTCAGATTGTGTTTAGTTTCTGAAATTAGGGAGAAGTTTGGGGAAAGTTGGCAGTTTGGAAAAAAAGTTAAGAGTTTATATGTGTAGGAAAGTTTTGGATGTGATATGATGTGATGGAAAGTTGGGAGTTGGGGGGAAGTTTGGTGTAAACTAAACACACCCTCAGTAAATCGGTCAACTTTAAAAAATTTACACTCAGCACCTTGGTAATCGATGGTTTCATATAGTATATATTTTTTTGGAAAATCATGAAATCGCGTAAGCTTTTCTATGTTTTGTGAACCTTTAGAGCAGATACAATAGCAGACTATAAGGTCAGTCCCAACCCAAGACACTAGACATAGTTTCTATAAACTCCACACATCATCAAGAAACTAGTACTAGACACTACTATTTTAATGCAAACACCACTATTCCATACTTAAATTTAATGTTACTTATCTCACATGATGTTTAGATGTTGTGTAAAACCATGTCTTATGCAAGACCTGGTTTCCTTCTCTTTCCTCATTTATTCACTTATCGCATCATATTTCATCCTAGGTGTTAACTATTTTAATGCTATGGACGCCATCCTATTCATTGGGTTGGGACTAACCTGAGTAAGCTATAAACACACGTCGAGAAGATAAAAGAGAAGAGAGAAGACCAACGGGCTACATAATTATACATAATTATAGTCAGCTGCAGCACGGACTGTAAGATACAATATGTATGACATGTGAGATCATGTATTAATAACATAGAATATGTTTATAGGTAACTATTGTATAAATTAACTATAGATGATTTAGAGTTAGTAGTTGACTATACTATTAAACTTGCTCGATCTCTACACGAATACGGAGGCATATGATTGTTGTGGCATTGAGATTTGTGGCTTGAGAGTTGAGACCACCATTGATTTGTTCGCGGTATAATTGATGGGGTTGGGGTATATCTCTCTTTCTGTTTCTATTTCTACTTTTTTTTTTGGTAGTACAAGAGATTAAATGCTACAGTACATCAGGAGGGAAATGAAGAGGCAAGGTGTAGTACACGATCTCGATTTTATTGTACGGTGTGGTCGCAAACGCACTCGTGCTGCTGTGCGGCCAACCAAGCACGTTGTGCATCTGATGAGAAGAAATTAAAGACCTTGAATGGGACATGAGGAAAAAAAAATCCAGTCTCTTTGCCATGCCAATCCTCCTATCTGGCAACTGTTATGTTCTATATATTCACCTAACGGATGATAAATTTCTAACGATAGCTTTCCAAGCTTCTAAATATAATTATTTTTTTAAAAAAAGTTTTCTAATATATAATTTATGGGATAATTTATTTGTTTTGTACCCTCGATAATTATCACAAACCCGATTTCATCAACCATCCATTATCCATCAGCACTCTAGAGTCTAGACTACTCTACTCCATCCCAAAATAATTCGATCTCTATCTATGAATTTAAACATACTAGCCTATGGCCTGGTTTAGTTCTCAACTTTTTCATCACATCAAAACTTTCCTACATACATAAACTTTTAACTTTTCCATCACATCGTTACAATTTCAATCAAACTTCCAATTTTGGCGTGAACTAAGCACATCCTATATGGATTTATTGCTAAAAGTTAATATATAATTTTTAATATTAATCCCAAGAACCAATCAGCTGTACAAATATCTTTTGTCACCGAGAAGAAGAAGAAGAAACCCAGCCATGAGTTGACAGGTGAAAAGGGATATGCGTATATATACTGTTTGCCAGATCGACCGATGCACAGTGCGTGCCTGCATGTCGTCTCCGGTCAGACCAACCATGTGGTTCTGCATTGCTTCTTCCCCAATCCGCTCACAAATTCTATCTAGCCAGCCAGCTTGTACTACCACTCACGTTGAAGTTGAAACTCGCCGGTCTCGACTTGTGAACACACAAAAACAACTCAAACGAACTGGAGTAGAGTAGGAGTAACATGCATTACACGCACATGTTATCACAGATTGCTGTTCTTAATTTGTTCTTAGTTTGTGTTGCTGTATTCTTCTTGCCATTGAGACATTGACTGAAACTGAAACTATACTGATCATTGGAGGATGAAAGGATGATGCGTTGTTGCAGTAAAGGCTCCAACCAACAGCTTTAATCAAATGATCAATGAACCGATCGATTGGAGAGAGAGGGAGAGAGAGAGGAGGGGCCAGGGCAAATGCACATGCGTAGCTACCAGCAGCAGCATATCCAGCAATGAGGCCGGGGCGTGAATGTGATGGTGGTGGTCAATGAGTGACCATTTGGATTCTGGACCACTTACCCTAGCTTGTTGTGGTTGTAGCTGTAGATCATCCAACCATGGCCACCCCCACCACCACCATCCCGACGAAGACGACGATGACGACGACGACGACGACCGGTCGTCTCATCTTCCTCGCCTCCGGCCAAACTTATTACTTCATCCGTTTCACAATAAAGTCATTCTAGCATTTCCCACATTTATATTGATGTTAATAAATATAGACAGATATCTGTTTGATTAATTGCTTGCATGAGCTATGTGTGTTTGTTGCTCTCACATACATGTATTTTATCACAATTTTCGTTAGTACGTTTTTTTTCAATCTGCTAAGAGCAGGTACAATAGCAGATTATAAGTCAGCTATAAATATTTTTTAAGAAGATAAAATAGAAGAGAGAAGAGCAGCGGGCTACCAGATTTATAGTCAGCTGCAGCACGGACTTCAAGATGCATATGTGTATGAAAGTGGGACCAGCTATAAATTGTATAGTATACGTTTATATGTAACTATTGTATGAATCGGCTATTAAATTGAGTCCAGATGATTTAGAGCCGATAGTTGCCTATACTATTAAACTTGCTCTAAGCGCGATACGTTTCGTGAGAAAACTTTCTAAATAAAAGTTACTTTAAAATATCATATTCATTTCTCTAGTATATAATAATCAAAACTTAATTAAACACTCTCTAATGGTTCTTTTTTTTGTTTGTTCTATGTGCCCTAACTTCGTCAACATCTTTCATGTACCAATGCCATTGTTAAACTGAATCAAATTAAAGCTGTGCAAATGCATCTCCGACAGTGAGAGAGATGTTGGTACAAAACAAAGCTGTACAAGACGCTGCAGCTGCTGCTGGTGCTGGTGCTGGGTTGGGGGTGCGTTCCATACTTAAGTACAGTAGCACAGAAACAAAACCGAGTATCTGACTGAGACACTCTTGCTGCCGGTACTTGCTCGCGCATGCATGCAAAAAACCATAGTAGCTCGAGCTTTTTCCCAGCTCCAAACATTTCTTCAGGCAAGCAGATGCAGCAGAGTCAAGCAAAGCACGACGCAATGGGATCCGAATTCCGATGCAGAGTTCATCACCATCATCCATGCAATTGTACTTGCTACTATACTCAGTAGAGTAGTACCAAAAAAGTGTTTTGAGAAAATTGATCAGGAAAGAACATGGAAAGGTTAATTAATCAGGAGTACTCGATCGCTGATCTGAATCATTCTTCAGTTACTCACTCCCTCACCTGGAGTATTTACATGCCAAAGTGCTAAATTCTCTGCAAGAAAACAGTAGTTTGGGAATGGTGATTACTACTGATTTTTACAGGTAGTAGTAGTAGTAGTCTCATCTCACTACTAGAGGAGCTTGCTTAATTAATCATTAGCATAATTAAGCAGCAGCCATCGATCCCTCAAAAACCAAAAGGATTAATTAATTAATTAACAGAAAAAACGACGAAGCTAAAGCTCTCATCAATGGTGCGTGGTGAATTGTGATTTTGTCAAGAAGTTACTGCGGTGCGGCGGCGGCGGCGGCCATGGTGGTGGCTGCTTCCTTCTTCGCGAGCTTGCCTTTCTTGGAGGCGGCGGCGGCGGCGGCGGCGGAGGAGGAGGAGGAGGAGGGGGAGAAGAGGCGGTCGATGCCGAAGACGGAGACGGACTTGCGTGAGCCGCGGAGGGAGCAGACGGGGACGTTGAGGACGGGGGCGACGCGGACGTGCGCCGAGTAGGAGCGCTCGATGCCGCCGCCGCCGTTGCGGCCGTGGTGGTGGCGGCGGCCGCCGGCGAGGCTGCTCGGGCTGCTGGAGCTGCGGCCCAGCCCGTTGAAGACGACCTTGCCGGCCGCGTTGAGGCGCGGGCTGTCGGCCGCCACGGCGGGCGGCGGCGGAGGCGGAGGTGGCGGTGGCGGTGGCGCCTGCGTCGGCGAGAGGCGGATCTTGGGTGGCAGCTGCTGGGTCGACGGGGATGGCGGCGTGAGCTTGTCGTGTTTGGTGGTGTCGGGCTCGTCGGCGGGGACGGAGACGGGCTCGCGGAGGAGCGGGAGGCTCAGCGATGGCTCTGGCTCCGGTGGCTTCGGCCCGCGGCGAAGGAGGCGGCGGAGCGGCTTGGGCTCGGACGACGACG